TAAATTTTCAACTTTTTTTTTTTCTCTTTCTTTTTTTATCATTTTTATTTGATGCATCTCTATTGTAGTAATTTATTACTACTACTTCTCAATTATTCATTTCGTTAAATTTTTATGAATCTACTTTTTAAATATTTCATCAATTAATTTATTCAACTTTGAGTCTATTATTTTTGTTTTGTTTTATTTTTTTTTTTTTTTTAATTTTAAATGCACTTTTTTCCAATATGAAACATTTCATTTCTTTTTATTGCACAAGCAGAAAGTTCATATTTATTTGTTTGAAATGGCTTTATTAAATAAATGACAAAATTAATATGGCACCATAAATGAATGAGAAATTTTAATTTGAATGATATATTTTGGAGAAGTTAAAATTAAAATCATAACGTCTTTTTTTCCTTGAATAATAAAAATAACAGAATGTTTATATGAATTAGTGGAATTAAACATTTTATAATATTTTTCTTTATTTTAATTCCTTAAGCACCTTGAATGATTATGCTCATCATTTATTCTTTATTAAAATATTTTTACAGTGAATTATATTTATGGAATTACAACTAATTAGTGTTTCTCTTTTCCTTTGAATTTAATTTTACAGATTAAAAATTTCTCTCTTCTTCGTTCCTCTCTTCTCCCTCTTTCCTCATATAAGTTCTTTCTGCTTTTTTTTTTTTACTTTCAAATTTGATGACTTAACAGAATGGCACTTGCTGCAAACTCCCTTTTAAAAAAATGCATTTCCTCGTCGGCTTCAACTGTTATTTTAAATTACATCAAATTACATAATGGTCTGAGAAAATATTAAAATATAAAAAATGAATTGAGCACGAGAATTTAGATTTGTTTAAAAGATTCAACACTCATTAAAAAAAAAAAAAAAATTAAACATGTTTCTTGAAATAATCAACAAGCAAAAACAGAAGAAAACATAAGCCCAGACACCCGAGATTTGTTAAGATATATTCACATTCGGTTGAATGCATCTTGAAGACCTTTTTTGAAACGGACACAATCCGTGAATCCAGAAGATTCGCTTTTTAAAATACACACACATTTAGTGTACCAGAAAAGATTTGCCGGAAATGTTACTATTCCTTCCTTACCTCTACCACATATAGAACACAACCCAATAACAACTATAGTGAAATGTTACCATGTCAAAGACTCTAAGACTTCAAATTTCATGTCAAACATCACATCCAACCTAAAACCTTAGTAAAAGAAGTTAGACATACACTTCTATTAAGTGGTCACTCAGAAAATTCTGAAACTTATTCCGAAGATATCACCATCTGAAACCAAATAAATCACTATTGACAAAGTTTCAATATTGTTTGTCGTCCAACAGAAAAGAATTTCCGGAATTAAACATTTTATGGTAGAACTTAACCAAATATATTTCAAATTATCTTTGAAAAACACCAATTCCCACTAACCAATAGTATAGTTCAAATATTTCACGCATTCAAGCAAATCATTTATCACTTCAGATAATGCAACAACACTAACAACAGTTGACAACACAATAAAAATCAATATAATCGCTGGGGTGGCCCCATTGTGCTCTTTATATGTAGTGACCGCACATTCTGCCAATTCTTCTTCAACAACGACACAAGAAAATTGATAGAAAGAGCGATATTAGAAACCAGCTCTTCCGGTGTCATTCCAACATGTCCAATTGCTACCGATAGGCATAATACCTGCAATTAAAATGCTGTTTCATGTTAAGACCAACAGTGACCAATGCTTGCAATTCTCAGATATGGAAGTTCTGATACATTAAATGGTCATTTCGATTAACGAAAGCACTCACCTTTTTCATTTGAAATTTGATCGTTGAACGGATCTCTTCAATTTTAGTTATCAGTGGTTCAGAATGAGCAACAACACTTGGAAATTTACCAGCCTTATTTAGACCTGGTCCAAGTATACGTGGAATTTGCTTAATCAAAGCTTCCGAAGCCAAGAATGCATCATACCCCTGAAAAATGTAAAAAATGTTTTTCCACTATTACACTGGTGATATCTTCCTTTCAAAATGAACACTCATCAATAACACATATCACATAAAGGTCAAAACGAATTAGAGTGATGAAAAACAAATAAAGGAAACCTTTGCTAGCTTCTTGATCAGCTTCTTATTTTTGTTCAGTTTTTTTAATTCATCCGCATTCATGCACGGTATACTGTTTGCGTTAGCTTCATCGCAATGTTGTTGATCGCCCAATACACACACTTTCATATTTGGTCTTGGTATATTTTTCAGCCTAAATATAATGTTATTTGCAATCGGAATTGTCGATAGATAACCTAAGAACAGTAAATATTTCAATATGGAAGTTAAATTGAAAGATTACTATAAAAACCAACTAATTGAAACCTCGAAACAAAACGAAATATAGAAGGAATAACTCATTCACTTAAAATCATTTTACATCTATACGTAGCCTACATCTAATTCAGTTAATAGCACTACGAAGAGATCCGTCCATTAGGAAATGGGCAAGCAAACGATGATGTGATGGAAGAAATGTGGATAGCCTGAATGACTACTAAGTTGAGTGAACCATCGAGTTCAAATGGAAAAGTTTCCTAACATCCCATGAAATTTGCCCAAAACTATTCTATCCTATCTTCTGTCTGCTTCATCGAACCCTATTCAATCTCTTTTTCATTCTGTGGTATTCCTTCCCCCTGCAATCATCTGAACAATAAATTAAATGAACTTTTTCATTGTAACCTAATTTTGACCACTCCTTCATGCTTATTCATGACCCCTTTACCGTTATATTGTATCAGAAAATGAAACGTAGTGCTTACGGTTATTCGTCACTCGTTAACATAATTAGTTCGGATTTCAGACAACAAAAAAGAATAGTGTATGAAATCCTTCCCATTATTTCAAGACTCTGGGTTAAAGTCTTCGCCGTTTATGCTAAACGACTTCCTGCTCATCCCAATCAACAATTCGGCATGAATGGAAAGAGTAGGCATTTTGTAGAAAGGATTAATTGGTGCTGATATAGTTGTTGGTAATACCTTACGGATCCACTGAAACGTTTATCTTTCTGTGGATCATAATTCTTCAGTGCTACTTGTAATTCGACTGTTTCACGAAATTTCCGCTTCTTTTCCTTCGATGCTTTCAACACCTCATTGACACATTCGAAAAGCGTATCACGTGGAATTTTACTCATTGTATAAGATTTAACGCCTACTGAACAATACCCTGAAAATTGCATTGATTAGATATTAATCGTATCACAGAGTTTCCATGCATAGAAACGAAACTGCTGTCATATGTGTTCAAGAAGTCACATTTCTGAAAGATGTACGAAATGATTTGAAAACGACATTTCTCAAAAAACTGCCAACTGAATTTCAGAAAAATTTAAGTAAAACAAATGGTAAAATATACATATATGCAGACATACGCCTTATGCACATTCACGTGCGTGAACCACACATGTAACGTACGCATGGCTACCACATGTACCACATCCACACAACCCCCTGCAACTAAAGGATACCGAACAAGCTCCACGACCAGCCCAGGTAACACCATTAATACCCAAAATTCCCAATACACCGTAATTAAAAACGCGTTCCGGGTACATCTTTGTATTTTACAGCATTATATCCCATTGCATTTTCTCCCTCCACCAGCTTTAAATTTTATAATAGATTTTTTAATTTAACGACGCAAAGCAAATGCTATATGTGATCTATATGTAACGTATTTTCTTTTTACTCTTTTATCATTGGTAATTTTGAAAAAAAAATTCGACAAAAGACAAAATATACATCGGACTATTCAATCCAATATATTCCATAGTGATTGCTTAACCGAACTGCCATATATTTATTATATGGCAGTCCAATTATTATTAGGAGGTAGTTTGAAAACCTAATTCTGTCTAATCTATGAAAAATATAAAAATTAAGCTAATATCAATAACAAATTGCTATGTTTTTTTCTGGCGTCATGTAACTCTATAAACGAAGATGAACAAACAATCACTCCAAATCATTCTTCTTAGTCGATAATTGAATACTTGTTTTGTAATGTTTTTCGTTTGTTTTATTAATATTTAATACATAAAATTAATCGATCAGGTATACAAAATATTTGTGAATCAAAATCAAAAGAAAAGTATTTCAATTGCAATGTCACCGACTTCTTTTTTCGTAATATAAATTGTGGACAAAAAAATAAATAAAATACGGGATGAAGATTTATAAAAACCATAAAACAAAAGAAAAGTGAATTCAATTCAGGCGACATTTAAAAAGAAACAAACCATTTGATTTCTTCCTGATGATCAGATCATATTAACTAGAAATTAATATTTCAAAAATAAAAGAATTTCTATTAAATGGATCAATGATATACTCGTTTATCATATCTCACCGAATGAATAAAACTGTTATTTATCTCAGATATTAAATATTTTTATAAGAAAAATACTCAAATATCCATTACACTCATCACCAGGCTTTCATTAGGCTTCCGATTCATAGTAATCTATTACTTTCCAACTCATAATCTATTACTTAGCGAGAGAACTTTAAAATGAACTTTAGAACATGTGTAGTAAAAAAATAGCTCAGTTATCTCATAAAATACAAAACTGATTAGCTCCAGCAGAGTTCGATAAAGCACTATCATATTTCCTTACAACAAAAGATCATGTTGAGTTGTGCGGCACTGATTATTAGTTTGCTTGAAATTCTTTAATACCAATATGAGATGATATTTCAGTAACTGAAAAAAAAAATGAATAATGATAATAATGTAAAAAGATGTGAAGTTAAAACTTAGAAAATAACAATTGTTAAATAAAACTGGGGAAAAGAAAAAAAAAAAAAACTGAAAGAGGAGGGATCTAAATAATTGTTATTTAAACGATTTAAAACGATTTAAACAATTTAAAACTTTTACAAACTAAAAAAATTTGTAGTGAACAATTTACCAGAGAAGAACTTCCTTGTTACAATATAGTCAAATCAGCAAAACGTTCATTATTTAGAGCATCTTCTTTTGTTTCTATCTGAAAAGCATTTTCCGTTAATTCGAAATCTTATTGATATTTCTGAATGCTTGAAACGAAGTTTAGTATTGAAAGATAAGACTTTTGATGTTCATATGAATGAGAGATAAGAATTTCATGTAAATTTAAATCAAATAAATAAACATATAAACGTGGAATGCGTGTAACTGCATAAAATCTCTTTCATAAAGTACATAATATAAACTACTTATACAAAATATGCATAATGTAAACTAACAAATTGGTTTGGTTCAGCGATAGAATGAAATCTCCAGCATACTGTAGAGCCGAACTGATCGTACGAAAGCCAAACATATGTGATATTTCCAGCTAATTCATTCCATCGATTCATCACTGACTTTTTAAAATGCTCCAAATCAACCCAAACTTTTCCAGCAAAATCACTTATCCAAATCCAATCTTTTTTGGGTAAATTTTCTGGTATCTTTACTTTTTGACATATCTACAATTCCTACGAATAAATGATTGCATATTAATGAAAATAAATTGATCTGGCGCAAGTTAAAATGGAAATAAAAAATTAACCTTATGACAGCATTTTTATAAAACAAAAATTATAATTACCTGAGCTTTACCATCTACCACTCTAGTTAGCATCATTTGTGTCTTTGAATATTTTAATTTATGAGCTTCTAAAATACCATCTCGCCTATAAAATTAAAAGTTAAACTTCAAAAAGCAATTTTGCATTTAATACTAAATAAAAATTTTGAAAACTTTTGGGTCTGCTTCTAAATTGTCGTCATTTATTCATCCTTTTAAAAGAAAATTTGCTTTTCCGTTTCGAAATAAAACGTTAAAAAAACGGATAAGATGGAAATATTCAGGAATAGGGAATTTTTGGATAGCTAAATCGGACAAAAACGACAAACGAAATAGAAACTAACCCATTCTGTACGACAAAATCAATCCAAGCACCTATCGAGATATTCTGGCATTGCTGATGACAGAAGTAAACAGTTCCAGTTGCTATCGACCATAAGACAACTTGCTCTGCTATAAGATCAATAAATGATTTTAGATAAATAAATGAGTAAAAGATGTAAAAATTGAAAGAAAGATAATAAATTTTAAGATATTTGCTTTCAATAAATTTATTTTTTAGAGATTAAAATAACTGCAAAAGTTTTGAGAAGAAAATAAAATACCGAAGTGACCTCTTTAACAGCGAAATAGTAATAAGTATGAATGCTAATATTAATAATGAAATTATATCTGACTATTGAAATCTCAAAAATTATTAGAATAGCAAAAGATTTATTAATTTTATTGTTTTTTCTTTTTTTGATGATGAGTTAGTTGCATGTTTCATTAATATTTTATCAATATTTGAAAAAAAAAAAAAAATTAAACGAAGATAACTAAAGTTCCAGAAGTATGTATAATATTTTATATCTTCAGTGATATTTGTAACATCGAATATTTTAGACACTGACAAATAATTCCATTATTTAGCGAAATTAATAAAAAAAAAAAAAAAAACAATAAACACAAAAAAAAGAGGCCATTAATATTTTAAAGAAATAACTCACTTCCTTGGCAGTCTATATCACGTCGAATTACTAATCCTGAATATATAGCCGCTGGATTGGTTTTATTCTTAGACAAATTTTTCTAAAAAAAAGGGAAAAAAAAGGAATGACTAGTTTTGACATTACGTTACGAAGTAATTTGATGATAAATTAAGGCACTTAAAATTAACTTTAGCAAAAATAAAGGATGAAAAAACGTATACCAAACAGTGAACTGATAGTAATTTCGCATCAGCTGGCATTTCTGATCCAATCCATGGCTAAAAAAAATGATTTTTTACCAAAAAATATTATAAGGTGAACCATCTGATGACTTAATTATGAATAATATGCAAATTGAAAATGATTTAATTAGGAATAATATGTAAAAATACGAAAATTGTTTTAAGAAAAAAAAATCCATGGTTACATCAATAAATCATTTTTAAATCCACCAAAATATTCCGCATGCTAGTGAGAATAGTTTTTCTACAAATAGTCTTGAAAAACTGATAAAGCTAAAAGAATCTCCACTTTATGCTTCAATGTTATGAGTCAGTGATTACAATTTTTATCATAAATAACTTTATGATGTATAAGAAATCTACCTATCAATCTATCTATTTTAACTGATGAATCATATCAGATGGGGGTGTAGAAGTATTAAGTGTGTAAGTAGTAATTTTTTAAATATATATATATATATATATATATATTAATTAATTACAAGCAAAAATCTAACCGCATCATAAATTGGAAGTTGATTATAAGCTGGTCTAATAATTTCAGTTACTTTCATTAAAACATTACTCGACATGTACGGTTCGGTTAATAGTTCAATCCAGGTCACATAAATAATATCTGGCATAACATTTTCATGATTAAATATTCCATTATCATCTAGGATCCACTGCAAAAGATACAACCATATTCAAGTAATATCAAGATTATCCAAAGAATATATATGCATTATTTAATTAGTCAACTTACTTAATTAAGAAAATAAACATTTCATTTAATTGCTTTCCGTTCACAAGATTATGAGAAATGTAACATTCGAAGTGTAAAAACTGTACAATAACAATTCAGAAGATTTATAAACCAAAACTGAATGAAACTATTTTAAAAAGATAAGTGATATAAATTTTTACAAATAAACTAATGAATTATAAATTATAATAATAATGGATAACACCTCAAAATGAGGTGACCAAACATATTGTTCCAGAGTATCATCTAAATTCTCTCGATGAGGTGTAGCTGCGATTGTTTGAATCTGAAAATAAAACTGATAACAAAGATAATTTTGAATTTTTTTTCCTTTTTTTTAGGGAAAAATCGGAAGAATGGAAAGAATTATATTAAAATTTTCAAACATATCAAATAATTATTAATAACAAATTTTGAAGCATACTGAAATTCGACTGCTTATTGAACCATCACTGTCATATAACTTTACAATTTTGGTTGGAAGAACTGGTGAACAAGCTTCAATGAATGGTGCCATCGAATCATCATTAAACTATAAAACAAACAAGAGAAAGAAAATATATTCAATACTTTTTTTTCTTTTAAATTGAGACACATATAATTATTCATTTTTCGTCCAATCATTATCTTTCGTCTTTTCTCTTCGCATGTAAATTAAATGTCTATTTCTTACATAAATTTGAACCGCCTTTTTTGTAATATTTAACTTTATGAAATTCAATTGCGCTACATGTAAGAGTTGAAATATATATTTACAGAGATAAGTTTGCACCAATATCATATGTATATAATTTAAAATATGAAATGAGACATAGTTTAGCATTTTTCTCTGAGTGTTTTCTTCTAGCCAAATCGATAAAATCATTATTATCATTAATCGCAAATGAAAATCAATGAAAATTATATGAAAAGGAATCATTAAAAGACATACAAGTTGAGCATTTTTCCAACGGTATATAATAAATAATTTTGATTATTTGCCATAATCTTTTTTTAATTCCAATAAATGAAAAAATTTAAAGACTAAAATACTAAAATACTTACAATTTCTGTTGGACTGAAAACAAAATCACTCAGTAATCAGAAAAAAAAACGAAAAGGAAAACATTTTTTTTGCTGTAATTTCAAAATCTATTTATAACATCAATCAAAATTTTTTTATAATCACCGCATAATTTTTGCAATTCTTTAATTCAAATTGAATTTTGATTACAAATATTATCTGCAATTTGGAAAATAAATCACCAAATTAAAAAAAAAAAAAAAACTGAAAAACATGTGAAAGTGTGAAAGAAAACAATTTGGTCTACAGTTTTCCACTTCTTTTCCTTACTTAACATAGTAATTTTGGATGTAAATTGGATCAATTTCGAATTAAAAATAAACTTTAATTAATGCAGAGTAATTTCACTTAATGCTTTAAATTACTTACCGAGAAATTGATCCAACTACCCGGTACAACATTTGTTGGTATTTCACAATTGAATTGATAAATTTTAGTTTTTCTTAATACTTTAATTCGACCATCAGATATTTCCAAAACAATACCCAAATAATACATACCACACATTGTAAATCTTTAATTAATCATCACAGATTAATAATAAATGTTAATAGTTTACATCAATTAGTTAAATTTTAATTGTTAAATGTAAATAGCGAACTTTTCAATTAAAAAATATATAAAATATATGAAAACAAAATTAAGTTAGTAAAAATGACAGTAAATGAAATAAATTAAATTTGATTAATACATAATGCTGAGCAACTCGAAAAAAAAAAAAAAAAAATACCCAAGCACTTCCCGTTGATATTCTGTGAAAGATGGAATATGTGTGTTATGCAAATATCTGCGTATGTGCACGTTTGTATGTGCACGTTTGTATGTGTATGTTTGTATGTGCACGTTTTATGTGTGTGTTTGTATGTGCACGTTTGTATGTGTATGTTTGTATGTGCACGTTTGTATGTGTGTGTTTGTATGTGCACGTTTGTATGTGTATGTTTGTATGTGCACGTTTTATGTGTGTGTTTGTATGTGCACGTTTGTATGTGTATGTTTGTATGTGCACGTTTTATGTGTGTGTTTGTATGTGCACGTTTGTATGTGTATGTTTGTATGTGCACGTTTGTATGTGTATGTTTGTATGTGCACGTTTGTATGTGTATGTTTGTATGTGCACGTTTTATGTGTGTGTTTGTATGTGCACGTTTGTATGTGTATGTTTGTATGTGCACGTTCGTATGTGTGTGGGTGTGTGTGTGTGTGTGTGTTTGTATGTGTGTCTGTCTATAGGTGTGCACTTACAAAGATACATATATACATTTGCATATATTAAATTTATGTCTCTTTTTGACAAGTTGAGAATCATTAGCTTAATTTACTGCTCGTAATGCTGCATTAGCTGGAAGCTTCGTACTCGAATATGCTTTAGTACCATTTCAGGCTAAATCTTGTTCGAATTAAAACGAATAATTTAAAAATATAGAATTTCAAATTCAAGGAAATAATAAAGGGCAATTTTCGTGCCTGAAAGTGTTTATTTATTTATTTATTTTTTTCAAAAATAAAAACGGAAATTTTCGATTTTTACGTTTTTGCTTGTTTTACGTAATGGCTTCCAGATAAATATCAATGACGGCTTTTTATATCATGCATTTCTAATTGGATTTTCACAAATCTGAATGATTGCATTTTTTATCCAAAGAACATTTTCCGCAAATACACTACCGATCTAAACGATCATTACAAAAATAAGAAAATTGAAAAATGTAGCTTCAAGTAAGTTTTTAAGTTTTAATTTCCTTCTTAACAATATTATATTAATAAGATATGCTTTAGATGTTCACTGTTTCATATATTCACTAATTTCCTCCCTCATTTTTGCTTTCTTTCAATTTCGTTCCTCCTTTTATAGATGACGCATATATGTTGTAGAACTCAATATCATTCATATTGAGAGGCGCTAAATGGTGAAGAGAATAGATCGATTATATCAATGTTAATAATGGTTACATTCTGCCATTGATTTACTCATTGAAATGATTTTACCTTATTTTATTTTACTTAAGTAATCCATTAAATTAGATAGAAAAAATTGCGGTAACTTTCCAATTTTTTCATTTTTTTTCAGCGTTTTCAGTTTCATTCAGTAGTGTCCCACATTATTTCAAACTTACGTCACGTTAACTAATTATAGAAAAGTTGCTAAAATTCTTATAAATAACTGATCGAGAAGTTCCTGAGTTCTGATTTACTGAAGGAGTGTCATAATTCTATTGTTAATAATTTCTACATTTCATAAAAATCCAAAAAATTTTGAAATGATTTTAAGTTCAGGAAAAAATAACATAAAAAACTTAAACTGATTTGTAAAAAAACGTATACTGAGAAACGTTTACTGATTTATAAAATAACAAAACTATAGCAAAATTATTGGCAAAACTATTACACGAGACCTATGACCATGTAAGTTTTAGGTCGAGATAGTATGAATGTGAATTCACTTTAAACAGCTCACGAAAGGTATAGGTCATGAGATGAAAACACACTTTAATGTAATCAACTATTTATTGCAGTGAATGCATGAAAAGCTCAAAACAAAAATGACAAAAGAACGTTTGAAACCAAAAAATAAATAAGATTTTGAAGTTGGATAGTAATATACAAACATTGGAAGTGAAAGCAAAACCCAGTGGTAAAAATTAATTAAGAGTGAGCTAAGAGTAAAGGTATAATTTTTAGTCAATATTTAAGAATATTTGCATACAAATTAGAAAGAAATCAACATCTGATGAAATAAAATATCATTGAAAAATAAGACCGCTACACAGAAAATTCAAAAACCAACACTGAACACTATTACGTCTATCAGTAATACACCGATATGAAATATATAAATATACAACAGCAATTTAAAAAAAAGCAATTGAAAAAAAATCCGCAGGACTAAAATCAAAAAGCATTGGTTTTTTCAGTGACTTATTGAAAAATAATTAATTAAAAGGAGAAGTTATACCTTGTTTAGGTAGTAAATCCAAGGCCTCTTTTGTAAGCAAATCCCGTAATTGCACTCGTTTTGGCCGATATAGCACCTTTTGTAGCTGCTATAATGACATAAAAATATTTTTAAAAATATTAACAACATAAAAAAATATATCGAAAAAAGAATATAAAGAATTAAATATGGAAGAAAAAATTGCTGATAAAATCTAAGTGAATTGCTAAAAAAATTATCATTTCTAATTTTAAATATTAATGTTTTTAATTTAAATATTAATTTAAAAATTTAATTTAAATTTAATTTAAATTTCTAATTTAAATATTAAAATGTTTGTTGGATAAATACAACAGAAATTTGCACCAATTAAAAGAAATAATTAAGAAAAAAAAAATGTTTGTGTAGGAAAATGATAACGCACAGAGTACGCGGATGTCAAATTGAAATGTATTAGAGATTTTTCTTGTTGCGAGAAAAGAAAGCGAATGATATGCGCTAGAAAAAAAAAAAAAGGATGGAACAGTCTCGATATGCAAGCAAATATCTTCATGGGCGCGAAATAATACAAAAAAATACTAATATAGATGTTCATTATCGTCACTTTTTTTCCTGTCATTCTTTTTCTTGTATAAGAAATATGATAGAAAAAATGTATGAGATTTAATGATTAGCATAAATAGTATTATACTGTAGGTAGATTTGAAATGTGTGACTTCGCATTCTTCTACTATAACTGCAACTATTAATTACTATAAGTAAATAATAGTTGCATTACGTGTTTTTATACTTAATGAATATTTGATAAACTTTACTAATATTATAGGATAAGAAATCGGCTCCCATGGATCAAGAAATCCAAGTAGTTTTTGAATACCTTAAAAGGGAGCCGGAAATGTACCGAATTTTGCAGAGATTCTTGAGCAGGACTGTTCAGGTAATTTTCACTTTGTCTTCCTGTTTTTTGCTCTTATTTTTTTATAAATTGATACAGTGTGAAGAAAGAGTTGCTGAACTTTCCTCAAATTTAAAAAGTGACTGTAAAAAATAGCTTTTTCAGTTTGAACAGTCGCTCATAGAACGCATGGTGGAGGCGGGGTGGAGGTTGGAGGAATTGGTAGGGCAAAGTGCCCATGCAGTAATGGAAGAGGACCCGGTACCTCAGGAGCCGGAATTTAATGAAGAAGAGGCAGAGTGGGCTCCTCTGCCTGAAAATGAAACTGGTGATGAGGCCGAGAACTGGCCATTAGAAGCAGAGTGGACCCCTCTGCCGGAAGACGAAGAAGAAGAAGAGCCTGAGGTACCGGGGGTACCAATGGAGACGAGTGACATCACGGAACCGGTGGAAGCAGTACGTGAACTCGTCCTGTAAGTTTAAGTTTTACCAGCAATTGTATAGCAAAGTAATTTGCTAATTAGGCAAATACTAACTTTCTCTGCCAAATAATTTCCATTAAATATAAGCTTGTTTCAGACGAACTAGGACGATCAGAATCCCGGTTCCTGCCACGCAGGAAATATTGGCTGCGGCACAACCGGAAGAGTTCCATCCAGCCGACTTAGAAGACCTTCCGGAGCAACTCCGAATGGAGTTGGAAGTGCCGCGGGTGGAGCCATATACGATAGCTCAAGGAGAAAGAAACAGAAATATCGGTAATTTATAATTTTAATAACTTTGGAAATGATTATGTGCTGTAATTTATAGAAGGAATGTAATCATATTTTTGATTTCTTATTGATAAAATCATATTTATGATTTCCATCCTCATATCGATTTGTGCAATAATAGCAACAATTTGTGCAGTAATATTTTCTTATCGTTTCTGTTTTCAGTATGTGGTCTCTGCGGCAGGCAGTTTGAAACACTGAAAGGGTGGCGTATTCACGCCTCAAAAGCACATAAGCAAGATGGTAAGTATTTTGAAGTGGAATTTTCAATTAGTTTTTAAAAATATTGCTACATTTGATTTATTTAAAGCCAGTAGACTCATTATCGATGTAATACATTATATATTCCAGGTTTTTGCTCCCGTTGTGGACACAACCTCTTGCTGCCACCCGAATTTACGGCCGCACAGAGAACGGCAGCGGTAGAGCTCCATGCCCTCGATTGGTGCCCGAGGGCATGTGCGGCCGTAATAAACGAACGACAGGTGAAGCGCCGAAGGCTTGATTTGGTGGGAAGAGAAGAGGATGCCCACCACCTCTTCATTCCAGGTAAGAAACTAGTGACATTGAAGAAGTGAGATCTAAAAGTTAAAAAAAAAAAATTGAATGATCATGAAAAAGAAAATATTTATGAAGTGGATCTTATATTTTTCTAATCAGTGAATTTTTTTTCAGGCCAATGAAATTGCCTGACCTTCCCCGCGCAGCAAACCTGTCGCTGTCTGCTCCAGTTCTCCATCCTCTTCCGACCAAATACATCTGAGGGGGTTTTGAAAATAAAAAAAATATATTTATAAAACGAAAAAAAACAAAAAAATAAAAAAAATTATAAAAAAAAATGAAAAAAAAAGAAAAAATTAAAAAAATACAAAAAAAAGATTCAAAAAAAAAAAAAAAAATAAAATAAAAAACATAAAAAATTCAAAAAAAATTGAAAAAAATAGAAAATAATTAAAAAAATACAAAAAAATAAAAAAATTAAAAATAAAATAAAAAAAAATTTTTTTGCTTTTTATTTCCTTTTTTTGTGTTATTTAAAACAGCTGATCTCAAAGTATGGAAAAGATTGAAGTTTTTTTAATTGTTTTACACTAGCTCTTGTAGTGGCAGAGTAAAATCAAAAAACTTTTGAATGGGAATTTTTTTTTTTGCTATCACAGAACTGAACATAACTTGCTAAAGAATAAACATAGCACGCTTTAGACCAAATTACCTTGGAATTAGCTGTTCTTTTTTTTCGTTGTTTATTTATTTATTTACTTTTTTTTTTTGTTTTCTTTTTATTAACTCTCTGTGGATAGTTAACTTTTACTAAAAACTTATTGTCGTTTTTCATCCAAGTAATTTTGCCAATAATTTAATATTTTTAATGATTTTAAAGTTGTTACTAACAACTTTTTTTTTTGGTTTTTTAAATTTCTTAAATATTGTTTATTTTTTACTGTTTATGTTATTTTGTCTACTATTTTTGTTCAGTGAAAATTTTCATTGTTAATTTTATGATATCTAACTGTGTAAAAATTCTTTATTCAAGTATGCGTGAGGGCACCAACTCGTAATTTAGTTACTTTCGTCTTTTAACGCTTGAGGATTATTTATTTATTTATTTTTTTTGGCTGTTAAGCAGTTACATAGGCGCAAATTTCTCCATTTGAATATATTTCGAATAACACAGCAATTTTTAAAATTTTCTTTTAATTTAAATGCGATGAGTTGTTAATACGTTGAATTATTAACTGAGCATCAATTTAACGATCCTTTTTTGAGCTATTTACGAGTTGGTGCCTATTCTTGTAATTATCTTTTTTTTTATGTTTGGGGAGGGAGGTATAGAAGTATACCTACCTTCGTTAATATATTATATAAACAATTATGTTATAATGTGCTTTCTGAAATTCAGGTGAAGGATCTTCTAAAATTTAGAATTTCCCAAATATTTGATCCCTTTCTTCAATTTCAGAAATATTTTTCTTTAGGATTTAAAAAGTTTTTAAAAACAATTTATTTTCTATTTTTAAAATTCTGCTTTTTAATTTTTTTCTTTTTAAGAATTATCAAATTTTTGCGCTTTTTTTGGATGAAATTTGAATTTTCTATTTTTAAATTGGATTTTCTTAGTTCTTTTGTTTCTCAAAATTTAAAAAATTTTTTATTGCTATGAAATTGATTGAATACATTGAATTAACAAAAATGTTTTTTGCCTTTAACTTCGAACAATATTTGCAGTTGATTTTTAATGCTTGCACTTATAATTTGTTACTTTGTTTTTCTTGTGCTTAAGTTATTTTTTATTTTCTTTTTTTTTAAATAATAATTCTCATTATTTGCATGCCATTTTCGTTATTTTTGTTTATCACAGTTAGTTAATATTATTTTTAGTTGTTTTTATTATTAGCAGTTTAAAATTATTTTTTGTTAATTTTTGCATGCAATTGGTTTTTTCAGCTAATTGTATGATTTTTATAAGCTTTATTCATTCCATCTGAGACTATTGCATACGATCTTTTTTATTTTATTAACTGCATGCTTATTTTTGCTTTTTCCATTTCCTATTATTTTTCTGTCTTTTTTCTATAACACTGTTTTTCGTGCATTTCTAGTTAATTCCATTTTAGTGCCTGCTTTTCTTGTATTATTCCATTTGCTATTATTTTCCTCTTTTTTTTTACTAACTCTGTTTTTTCATGTTTTTGGTTAATTCTATTAACTGCATGCTTTTCGCGACTTTACTATAGTATTTGTTGTTAATAGTATATTTTCTTATATTTAATTTTTTTTCATGGTTTTTTCATTGATCTCACTCGTTTTTTATTAACATTCTTTCTGCATGAATTTTTTTTAATTCTATTAATTGCATGCTTTTCTCTTGTTTTTTGCTAATATTTACTAATATTTTCCTTTTTTCTATTAACACTGTCTTTGCATGCATTTTTCAATTTTATTTTTTAATGTTTTTTTTTTTAATTTTTTTTTTTTAGTCAGTTTTATTAACCAATGTTTCTTTTATATTTTTTTGTCCATTTACTATTATTTTCTTATCTTTTTTCTATTAAACTGTTTTTGCATTTTTCCTTTAATTTTATTAACTGCATGCTTTTTGTAATTTACTCATATTATTTATTCTTTAATGAGTGCATTTTTTTTTTGTATATAGTTAAATGTATGTTTTTTTTTTTTGTCGTTCTCATTCGTTTTTTATTAACATTATTTCTGCATGCATGTAACTCTATTAACTGCATGCTTTTTTTTTTTTTTGTTTTTTCCATTTATTGATATTTTCCTTTTTTCTATTAACACTGTTCCGCATTTTTCGGTTTATTCTGGTAACTGCATGCCTTTTATACTTTATTCGTGCTATTTGCTGTTAACAAGATATTTTTTATTCAATCAATTGCATACTTTTGTTTTCATTAATCTAACTCGTCTTTTTTTCTTTTTTTATTAACATTGTCTTTGCATGAATTCTTAATTCTATTAACTGCATGCTTTTTGTAACTCAATCACATCATTTGTTATTGATGAGCACATTTTTTTTTTGTTTTTTTTTTTTGCATTTATGCATGCTTTTTTCGTTGTTCTCACTTCTTTTTATTAATATTATTTTTGTATGCATTTCCTAATTCTATTAACTGCATGCTTTCATAACTTTTCTAACAATATTTTTTATTTTGGTGCAAATTTTTTTGTCATTTTCACTCGTTTTTTATTAATGTTGCTTTTGCATGCATTTCTTAATTCCATTAACTGCATGCTTTCATAACTTTTCTAACAATATTTATTATTGTGGTGCAAATTTTTTTGTTTTTAAGTGCATGCTTTTTTTGTCGTTCTCACTCGTTTTTTTATTAACATTGTTATTGCATGATTGTTTGGCTATTTCTATTAACTGCATGCTTTTCGTAACTTAATCATATTATTTGTTGTTGATGAGCACACTTTTTTTTGTATTTACGCATGCTTTTTTTGTTGTTCTCACTTATTTTTATTAATATTGTTTTTGCATGCATTTCTTAATTCCATGAACTGCATGCTTTCATAACTTTTCTAACAATATTTATTATTGTGGTGCAAATTTTTTTGTTTCTAAGTGCATGTTTTTTTTTTTTGTCGTTTTCACTCGTTTTTTTATTAACATTGTTATTGCATGCATTTCTTAATCTATTAACTGCATGCTTTCCCTAACTTAATCACACCATTTGTTGTTGACAAGCACATTTTTTTGTATTTTTTTCATGCTTTTCTTTTTCTAACTTACTGTCACTCCCTTTTTTTATTAGCATTATTTTTGCACGCATTTTCCGGTTAATTTCATTAACTGCATTCTTTTTTTTACTAATCTCACTTGCTTTTGTATTAGGTAATTTTTTTTATTATTCACATCTGCTTTTTCTCGTATTCATTTTATGCTAACATTGTTTTTTGCACACCGCATGTTTTTCGTCTTTTTCAAAGGTTTGTAACTTTTAGATTTTCTAACTTCCAATGCTTATTTTAGGCTGCTACTAGCCAACATTCTGGAGCAACTGGTCAAATTGGTTCTAGAAAGTGTTTTCATTTGTGTGCAGCTTGATAATTCAGCTATAATTATATACTTTTGGAGTCGCAATAAAATTTTCGTGTGACTTATGCTTATATGAGATGACGAGAACACTCGAAAAGTAAGCAGTTCCAGTTTATTTCTAATGTGTATTTTCAAAAAATTATCCTAACAGTTTGTTCAAAAACTTATTTTTTTCTAAATTTTCTCCATTCATTGCTCAGTTTTATTTCATTCAAGAAGAGTTTTTTAATTAAACTGTCTATCGAATCATATTAATTTCTCGCACCTTACTTTATTATTTACATAAGTTTGGTTTATTTCAGCTCATATTAGTTATAGTTAGCAGCAACAAATAAAAATTCATTTTGATAAAAAAAAAGGTTGAATATTTAAAGGCATAAATTATGAAGTATTGCTAATATTATCATACAAAGCAGTAGTGTTTTATTGGATACCGGGCTGAGATCATTTCGTTCTATTCAGTGTTTACAGTTGTTTGACCAGGCAATATGGTAAGTAATTTCGTACTGCTTTTACGTCTCTTTTTCTCGAATATTGCAAATTAAAACAAATATTTCAAAATCTTGTTTAGGTGCATAGAGAATTCTGATCAGTCAATTGAAAAAGCTCGAGATGTTCATGATCATTTTGAAATTTTTCTCAAAGAAGCGATTTTAAATTGAATTCGGTGTCAAACTTATTTTTAAAACGAATATACAGGTGAATAAGAGATTACGCAGATTGGAATTCTGTAAGTATTTACAAAGAAATCTTTTATTTAAATTTCATCTGCTCAGCTCTCTTTCTGTTAATTACTTTATCTGTTTGGTGATAAGTGATAAATTCCACTTTTTCTTTTGCTGAGAACTTTTTTTAATTTGTTTTATTTTTCAGAAGTATTATATTGTTAAATTGTTGAGCCAAAAACACACGAATTTCTAACCAGCACTTTAATTAGATTCTCAGTCGAGGTAAACTATTTATTTTTTCAAACACGACTGAGTAACGATTTGAAGAAAATTCACAGCAAGTTTTTGCTAAATTTGATGGCAGTTTGTATTATTAAAGTGTAGCACACAAGAATATAAGATTACATGCTTAGCTAAATTACTGTTTATTCCCTGGTGCACTGCATATTCCCAGCTATCTTTGAGATAGACCTTAAAGATGTTGTTTTATTCGAGGTTTAAAATCATGGATTTTTGTTTCACTATGACTGTTGAAAAATTTATTAATATTTATGTTTTGCACATCATCATTCTTCCTGCATGCAATATTTCCATAGAATAGAAAGTGCGACAATTAGATGCAAACAGATGCGCTCAGAAATGTTTAGTGAATTGGTGGAACGCCACTAAATGTTGAAAATGATGGAAAAGAGGAAAAATGCAAGTTGTACTTCGTTTTGTTTAACCATTTATTTCCGTTAATTATAATTTCTTCCTTTTATATCTTTCATAGATTATTTGTTTATATATGTTTTTCTAGCAAAACTTCAATATTTTGCGGAACAAATATGAAGCAATTCATACCGTTGCTAGTTCTTTCTAATAAACCCATTCGTTGTTATTTGATAAATATTATATTACTAAAATATTATTTTGTGAATGTCAAAATTTTAGTTTCTTGATTTATTTAAAAAAGAGAATGTTTTGACGAGAAAATTATTTTTCAAGGATCTTATGAAATTAGTGAAGACTATGGACAAAAAATTGTTTTTCAAGATACCACTGGCGAAGAAATTAGAAGGTATTAAGGCCACGTCATCAAGGTTAATTTTATTTTCAAGTTTTACATTTCTATTAGCTGATGATGGACTTTTCCCTCGATTCTTTCGTTATCGTAGTTCAATTTTCAGCAGCAATCTTTGTCCATGTCAAATTAGGTGTGGATAATGACAAAATGCACAGTGGGGGAGGAAAATTTTCATAGATTATTGATTATATTGTTTGCTTTTTTTGAGATTACTATTAAGTTGTTTATAAAAATTGCGAATAACCAATCAAATTCAAGTTCTTGTTATTATTCATTATTGCTATCATGATTATTCTATATTTTTGTCATTATTATCATTACTACCCATCACTATTATTTATTATCATGAATTTAAATTATCGATATTATACTTAATATATAATAGATTATTTAATGATCATTGTCCACAATTGCAGTAAACCGGATGAGATAGCAAGATTTGACTGCGATTAAATGAATAATAAGTGAGAAATTTACTTACTATTCATTATTTTCCACCCTAAATTTTAGAAAATTATAACTCTGAAAGTTTTTAAACTGTTTGAATAACTAAGTAATTTGTCGAAATGTCATTCCAAATAACTGATAGCCGTTGAAGTTGCGCTAAACACCCTTCTCACAAAATATAAAATTTGAAATTTTTGGAGGGATGAGAACGGAAGAGATAAAATTATGAAATGGATCGAAGAATTAATAAGATCACTTTTGCATATTACTATGAGTTCACTTCAAATTTTATTTTTCACATCAAATGATTATCTCCTATTGTTTTTTTTTTTTTTTTTTTTTTTAAATTCGTATCATTTTTTCTAACATTTATTAATAACTGTAATATTTGTCTTCATTTTAATGTCTTTTTTAATTTCTTTTTGTATTCATTTCTTTATTCCGTCTACAATTTCAATTTCCAAAATTGAGATAACATGAAGTATACAAATTTTGTTTTAGCTAAGTCACAATCGGTTTTCGTATTGATTTCTCGAGAATTTCTGTATTTTAGTTCATGTATTCCATATTTCGAAACTTTTTCCTTCGCATGGGACAGCATAATGTTTTTGTTAAGCTTCTTTGAGCGGATATAAAGAATCAAGTACACAGCTAGAAAATTTATTCAGTGTATAATGTTTAGTCTGAAATGTAGATTTTTTTTACTCAAAAGAGTTAACAGTGCTTAATTGTTACAAAATCCTTAGCGTTTAGAGAGGAATTACAGGATTTCACCTAACTCATTATAGATCAGCGATCCAAAGTTTTAAGAGAATGTTAATAATTATCGAGTTGGATCCAGAAGCAAAGCTAAATTTTGCGAACGTACTAGTGGATATATGTTCCCGAAAAATTTCCGTTTCACCATGCATTCATATATTTGTCCTGTTTTCCGTTTTGTAAGAAATGCTTAAACTGATTCAGGTCATTATGATTAAAACCGAATGGACGACATGATGGTGCTGGAGTTGAGTGGTGAGAACGAACGAATAGAATAATGAGTTCAATTTTATGAAGTATGATTCATTTTATGATTTTTATATGGAATTCATTGAATAATTTTTTATTTGACTGTGCATTAAAGGATAACATTTGCACCCATGGAGTTACGAGATAGCAGAAGTGAATTCTCGAAATCGTACAGTTCCTAATCTCTTCAGTTAATTTTACAATCGATATTAGAAAGGATATCATGGATTGAAGTTGGAAATAAGTGATGTTGAATTATAGTATTATATGGCTTTAGATTTGCATATTGTAATCAGTTTGGTTTCATTTTCAATCGTTGATCTGAAATGAGCATTTAGTGAACTTTTAGCAAGTAGTGATTTTAAAGTTAGAATTTCAAAATCCAAATATTCTTCCTCAAAAAAAAAAAGAAGGGGAATTAAGTTGTAATTTTTAGAATTAATATAATGGACAAGTTTTTATTAGGTCTATTAAGTGGAAAATAATTTCCAAGTTAATCTTTTTTCTATGATGACAGTGAAAAAGGGGTTTTTTTTTTTAAATATTAAACACAGATGTACATCATTTCTACTACTTTAAAAAAGTTCATAAAAATATTAGTGTGGAAATCGAAGAAACCTGCGGTATTTGATGATTCCATTTTATGTGATCTCTGTTCCAAATACCTTTCAGTTGTTTTGGTAAATGAAGGATACACGGAAGCTCTAATCAGATTTTTGCTAATTCTGCTGCTAGTGTTGCTTTCTCGAAGTAGATCCAATTTGTACCTTGATCGACTACCTTGTCTTACTGATGATGACATTGGTTTGACAGCATAGTCAACTTTCAGTGTTCTATTTTTATCAGGTGGAAACTGAAATTTTATTTTCACTTTTAAATTAACATCACAGATTATAAAATAACTAGTCCCCCCTTCTCTCCCCTCCCCCACCCACCAAAAAAAAAGTTAATGTCACGCGTACAAGAATACAAATTTTCGTTTAGTTATAAATTATGATTACTGAGATTTATTGATCGCCTCGTCCCAGAATTTTTCCATCGATAAAATGAATCAAAGAGTAAATCTTGTGATGATCTAACTTACCCTGCTGATATAATCAGGATCCCATACCCATACATAGTAAATACTCAATGATGTCGCTGGTAATGATACGAAAAATATATATCCTATCACTGTACAGAATCGTATCCATCTGAAACTGTCTTATCATTTCTGTCTTTCGAATCACTTCGGCATTATTCAGAATTTTTTATTGAAAATTATTTATTCCAACTAGCTAACCACATCTCAACCTAAATTCGATGGTGTAGTGGTGAAGGTTCCGCCCCAACTTTTATTAATTAAGTTCGATTCGACACCGATGCTTCCTAAAAAAGCACTGAGTTGATCCCAACAAATGGACAATTTAGCCGTCAAAGGAAGCAATAATGAAGATTTGGGCCTTTATTGGGTGAGGTTGAGCTGTATTAATAAGCTTTAACCTCAAAGAAGTTCCAACATATTCCTTTTATGATGGAAAAAAACGATAAATGAGTGTGTACTTCAATAGTTTACGATGAGTTATCACAAATTTGCTATGAAAATAAGTGAAAATAATTAGCACATTTGATGAATTGATGAATTAAAATATTGGTTAAATGAATAAATCAGACATAAATAAAATTTCGATGAAGAGAAACCAGAAAATAATACTTAATATTCAACATAGAACTAACTTTTTACTTTCTCTTTGCGTGAATTTTGCACGTTTATCAGACGTATACACAGGTTCCTTTATCCTCAATCGAGTTGTTGTAGTTAATGAATTATTTGACATTATAAGGGATAAAAGATATGAAAGGTATTGTAAAATTCTTCCACCTCTTCCTGTTATCGATGAAGAGAAATAATTTGAAAAAATTACACGTTACTGTTATAACTGATATACACGTACGTCAATATACATGAATAGAAGTAAACACAAATTATCACGTGTAGTTATTGAGGTATCTTCGTTAATATTTAATTTTCATTATTATACTCATACAGACTAGAGATTATACTTAGAAGAGTAAAAGGAAGTAAATGAAATGAGTACCACTTATATACTGCTATCTAACTGAATTAAATTTTATAAGAAATGAAATAATGGAGAAATTTGGATGAGTGATTCTTAGATCGATAATTTGGAGAGGATGAGTGATTCTTAGATCGATAATTTGAAGAGGATGAGTGATTCTTAGATCGATAATTTGAAAAGTGAATGAGAAGCTAAGATAGAGTAGCGGCGAACTAAGTGCTCCATATGATAAGATCAATAAGTCACAAGCAGTAATTTGAAAAGAAGAGTTAAGCAAAAGTTGAAATATAGAAGTGAGGCGAAAATTGGATAATACAACGAGAGTATATGCTTCTTCTTCTGCTTCTTCTGAACATTTTTCAGAGAAATAAATAAAGAGAAAAATGGAATGAATAGTTTCATTATTATTTTGCTATATAAAATAAGAAAAAAAAAAGATTTTAGAAAAAGAAGTAAATTTTATAATATATCATGAAATAATTTTGTAACATTTTTGATTATCATCTTGTCAATTAAATCATCAATTATTAATTGAACGTTGAAGAAAATAAAATGATTTTACTTTTGATTAGCTATTTTGATTAGTTATTCCATTTATGCTATGTAAATTGCATTTATCTTAACTGTTACTATTTTCATAAATAATTTCGTTGAAGCGATTACAATAGTATTTTCAGGAAAAAATATTAAAAGAATTAATTTAAACTTCTCTATTCCTTAAAATTGCTACGATGGAATTTTTAGTTTTTAATTTTAAATTATGCAAAAAAAAATAAATAAATAAATAAATAAAAGTGTAAATTGAGCAATATTATATACTTAATGATGCTTTTTCTAATGATAATTTGTAATCTAAAATTTTTTTCTAATGTTAATATCAGTTTAATAATAATCTTAAAAAACAAATCTGCTATGTTTATTCATTCGAATACCTTATTTTTACCTATTTGAGAAATAATAAATTGCACTTTCACAAATAAATTGCTGATGCATTTTTCAAAATTTCATTTTATTTGAACTTAAATATTTAAAACTATTTAAAATTAGAAACTAAAAACTATTTAAAATTTATTCTTAATTAAACAAAAGGCATATAATGAATATTGTTTAAATAAGCAAATTCAAAACCGTACAATCATTATTGAGAATGATTTCAGAAGTGCTCGGTTTATTACTTGGCCAAATAGCTGTTCTATCGATGCAACGCTTCTTTAAGGCTATGCCAAAATTATGGATTCAAAAATATTTACATCCCTTTGTGCGACAATTTCTTCGATGTGATGAGTCGCCCGATACTGTGTACAGCAATAGATCAATTCTATTGCTCATTCCGGAAAATCCGGAAAATGAAATATGTATTTCATTTTCCGGATTCTTTCCTGATGAACATTTGATAACATTTAACTGGAATTTAAAATGATAGTTAAAATGGGTTTAAAAAAAAAAGAAAAATTAATATGAATAGTTGAATTTTTAGATAGCAAACAAAAAAAATTATTTCATCCTGTAATTTTATCTTCAAAAAAAGTAACAATCTTATCAGTGAAACTTTAAATTTGAGGAAAATAATGATGAACTCAATTATCATTATCACAATTTTTTCTTTTTTTGCAATTTTTAAAGATTTTCTGATCAATAAAAATAGCATTTGCTTCTTTAAGAAAACAGTTACATTTTTTTTTCCTTTTTTTTTTTTTAATTTTATAGTTAAATTTGTAAATTCAATAATGCTTCCACCTAATTATCAATTATTTTTAATATGAATAATTATCAAAATTTAGATCGCAAACAACATCAATCAATGTTCCAATTTCATCTTCAACATGTCAACAGTTTCTGAGATTTCACATGAAAATGCAAATTATCATTGATTTAATTAATCAAGCATTTCTAAAATTGCACAACTATGATAAGCAATTGATAAGATTTGAGGAAACATTCATTGGCTCAACGATTATACTAATTATCATTTTTGGTATTCTTCTAACCGTACTGCTATGGTTACGACGTTTATCATATGCAATACCACATGGATTTTCACAAAATTTTACAGAAGTAAAGTTTTGATTATCTTTTTTTGAAATTTTTTAAATTTGATTTCAATTTTATTTCGTTGAATGCATTCAAGCTATATGCCATTTATTTCAAAAATCTTACATTCTATTAAAACTTTGAAAAGTTCTATGAAAAGTTGTGTTCATAAAATTGAAGATTAAATTTTAAATAATCCAACATTAATACTTTTAATTAGGTTTCCGTTTTTTGCAGAAACGATATGAATGGGAAGATTCATCCTCAAAAGAAATGAAAACACAAAACAAAGTATTAGCACCAGAATTATCATTTCTTGCTGTTAAATTTACATCGAACTTGGTATCAATAATTTCAAGTTTCATAAATTTTATTGTTAACTCTTTTTTTTTTTCAAACAATTTCAGAAATATTCGAAATTTCGAGAATCATTGATTGATTATTAAATTTTGTAGTATTACTATCGAAAAATGGACGTAAAGCTATTATGATATTTATCATAGATCATGTTTGCCTAATTTTCTTTATTATACTTTTTCTAAAATGAAACAAATGAATTTTAATCAATTTAATTTTAAAGCATTTTTTAAACAGAATTTTTGAACGTTTTTTTTTTTCTCTTTCTTTTCTTTCCTTTCTTTAGGATAATTTAGGTGAAAAGTCGAAAAAAGTAACCGAAAAATCACAAAACAATTTATCATTGAACATAGCATCTGTGACATCTGAAATTAATTTATTCAATAACTCAATTAATCCAACAACAATTGCTAATACAAATAAATTTGAAATTGCTTTTAATCAAAATGTATGTCTCATTTCATTCATTTTTTTTTTTTTTTTTGTAATTTAGCATTTAAAATTTGTTATCTTTTAGTATTACAAAAGATAATAATGCAAAATTTATCAGTACTGAACTGATAAGTTGATCAGTAATTCATTGATTTAGCAAAAAAAAAAAAAAAAAAAGACAAATAATGCAAGAAATTGAAGGAACAGATAAATAGAACAAAGGAAATTGTTATTGGAAATGAATCTAATACAGATGGAAATACAGAAATGTTATTTACCGTACACAGACAACGATATGAGCAAACTTGCAAGAGTAATTTATCAGATAGTTTTAACAGTTTTAGCAATCATCAAATGAAACAAAGAATTTATGAAGTAAAACGACAGGTAAGTGATAATAACTTTAATCATTTCACATCATTTACTCATTTTTTTTCTTCTTTTAATTTTTTTGAAATTTATTATTATTTATCAAAAGATAAGATTATTGATTTAAAGCATTGCAAAACATAACTTTAGATCAATGAAAACATTTCTCTAGAATTTCCTAAAAAAAAAGAAAAGATATTCATAGGTAAACTGTTGATCAATTTACAACAAATATAAATCTAAAATATTTTGCTATGATCAATTCTAACTTCTATTTTTTGTGATATTTTGTCCAACAAAAAATACTATTTAAAATATCAAATTGAAAAAAAAAAAGAGTAAGTAAATTAAATTATAATCATTACAGCAATATGTGCCAATTTTGTTATTTTTGTCGGATGAATCGTTGAATAAAAATATTTCTTATCCATCAGAAATGATTAATCCAATTGAAAATGCAAAACGAATGAAACATCGTTATAGAAGAATTTTTTAAAATGAAAGAAAAATGCATATTTAAATTTGCTAGAATGAAATATGATAAAATTCATATTACAGAATTAGTTCTTAAAAATAAAAGTAAAAAATATAAGTCACTTTGATGCGCATTTATACATATTTATTTATTTAGCTTTAATAAACATTACTGATCTTTGGTTTTATTTGTTTATCTTTTGCTTTCATATAAAATTGCTTTGTTCGTTTGTATAATTCATTTTAACACTAAGATTTCTTGATGGTTTTAATTTATGAGGTAGTTTTTGTAGAAAAATTATAGTATAATAGAATCTTTTTTTAAGCAAATTAAAATTAAACAAATAGAACCAAATAGTTTAAAGCAAATTAAAAAAAAAAAAAAACAATAAATTAATAAGCATTACTAATTAATAGTTTAAGTTATACTTAATAAATGAGAATGTAATCCAATATCTGAAAGAATTATTCAAATTAGTGAAAAGTTCACATTAATCAAATCTTTATAATATCAAATAAAAATGATACATTTGTGTAAATTTTTTCAGTGTTATAATAAGAAAAAAAAAAAAAAAAAAGAAATGTACAAAGTATATAGCATTAAAAGTATTAAATTCAAAATTGAAATTGTATACTTAATAAAATTATTCATTCATATGCTAAGCAAAAAAAGATAAAATTAATTAGGAAAAGAAAAAAAAATATAACAAACATTTATCGAATTACATAACGCATTTCTATAATAATTAGCTAATTTTTTTTTTTTTTTTTTCTAACATTTCTTTTTGATATTTCGCTGAAATATTTTTTGTCGAAATTTTTATCTAATTTTTCAAAAAAAAAAAAAAAAGAAAGAAAGAAAGGAATAAAAAGAAAAAAGGAATGAATGAATGATTTCGAAAAGAACATTAAAACATTTATCAACTCGGCGAGAGTGATTTCATTGTATTTCTTCGAACTCTTCGAAAATTATTGCATCAATTTTTTTTTGATGCATTTTGTTAATGCTCTAATTCACTTATCACTGATAAACTTTTCAGCTTATCGCTTCATTTTTCACTTATCATTCATAATTATCATTGTGATTCATTCATTACATATATTTGATAAGACATCAATTTCATACAATATTAAATTGATCAAATATTATAATTTCATTTCCAATTAATTTAAATTACTATAATATGTTTTTAGTATGTAAAATAATTAGCAAAAAAAATATAAAAATTCTAAAAATATGACTGGCAAATTTAAAAAAACTTTTGAAAAAAGAGGAAATATCAATGCATCATCCTTTTTTTTTCTTTTTTTTTTCATTTTGCATATTGCAAAGCAAATATATTAATTTTACTCAAATGCATTTCATTTCTAATTAATTCTAAAGAAAAAAAAAATGAATATTATTGGATATTTACGTCAATCGTTTTATTATTATATTTATTATTTTGAATGAAACAATAGATGGAAAAATATAAATTGCATTTGATTTATTAGTAAGCAGAAAAAAAAAAATTAATAAGCAATCATTTAGAATTTAGATTTGCTATTTTATTAATCTAAAAAAAAAAATTTTTCTTATTATCTCATAAATTTAATTTTTAATTTAAGAAATAAAATTTGTTTGCTGAAGAAGTTTTTCAATTTTCCCTTTTTCTTCAAATACATTTTACATTCTCGAATATAATTCTTTGTCTGAGATTATAATAAATATAAAAAACTCTCTCCGTAACTAAAATTGAATTCTTTATTGTTTGCGCAACTTTTGCTTTTTTACTTTCTTTCTTTCCAATCATTCTTCATTTCTCATATATGCTTAATTTTAATAAGGAAATCATTTTTTTTTTTTTTTTTTTTTTTTTTTAAAAAAAACATTTTATGAGGAATCTAATTTGTCTTAATCAATTAGTGTCTTGAATTAAATTTTATTCTATTTCAATGTTAATTAATCGTAATTATAATAGAATATTTATTATAACAATAATATTTATTACATTGCTTGAGAAGAAAAAAGAAAGTAAAATATAAAAAATTGAAAAGAAACTAAGAATGTGAGTTGTTAATTTAAAAATAATATTAAATAGTACAATTGAGAAATAGAAAGAAAAAAAATGATTGCTAATTTTGAAGCATTGAAATGTTATTTCTATATTAATTCATCAAATTAAGCCTCACTGAATTTTAACATTAAATTGCATTTGCATTACATCGAAATTACAATTATAATGAAAAAAAAATATAGTTTAATTAAAAGTAATATAGCCATAGATTGTTTGAGTAAGTTACAATTGATTAATCTAAAAATTAAAAACTAAATATTAGGTAATCAGTTTGTACTATTCAACTTTCTGATATTCATTAAATTCAAATTTCTGGGACAATTTGAATTACAGCAATATTTCATTTTAAGTTTAATGAAAGGATTCAGAATTCAGAATAATATTTAGGTGAAATCAAGGAAAAAATGGAATGAAGAAGCATAAATGAATTGAAATAATAAAGGAGGAATGAAGCTGAAACGATTGATTAATAATTTGTATCAATAGTAAAACTTAATTATTACTCTTTCTTTTGTTTGATTATATCTGAAAAATAAATCAGGTGGGAAGTAACTTAACAATTCGTCATGGATAGATGAATTAATTAGCTTTCAAAGTGTTAATATGCTTACTTTGTTATGTTCTGATTTACTCGTCTGTATTTTTTCCTCTTTTTTTTTTGTTCTTTATTATTAAAAATTTTTGATTTGTAAAAAACTTTGAGAATTTTCTTTTTCTTTTTTTTATTTTTTTTATTTGTTAAAATCCAAAATTGGATAATATCTTTCATTAATTGAAGATAAAATTAAAGGATTTAAAAAAAAAAAAAAAATTAATTTTAGTGATTTAACATTTTGTGAGTTTAAAATGATTAGTGAAAGACTCACTAATGTTAATCTTTTTAAAATTTACTTCATCCTTTGGATGTTGTCTGAAATGCAAAATGCATTGTTAAAATATTTTACAAATCAATTATGTATCTTTTTTTTTGTAAGCGCTGAAAAAGTTAGCATGCATTGCTAGAATTGAATGCTTATCTTGCATTTTGCAGCACATCAATGCACTGCATTTCAGTACAACCACTAAGCAATTAATTGAAATATTTCAATTAGTTAATTAATTAATTAAAGGGACAATTAACAAAAAAAAAGATATAATTATTGCCAGTTTTAAAAAAGAAAAAATCAAAAATTTTTAGCTAACAATAATATCACACATATCATTTTAATTAATCTTACAGAAATAATTTAAAAGCATTTTGTCATTATTTCATGATAATAGCTTTCACGTAAGTAACAAACGCAAATTGTGCTAATTGAAATGAATTACTCAGCTTGCGCATAAAGTTTTATTATTTCATTTCTCCAATAATTCAATATAAAATAAAATGGAATAAATGAGTAATTAAATTTTCCAAATTAAAATACGACACATTTTGAAGTATAATAGCAAAAAATATTTTCATTAATATATGTTTGTTACATTTAATTATTGATTTGAAAAAATAAATTATCTCATTTAGATAATTAATTAGTGAAAAAAATTTCCATCTTAATTTAGGAAAAATAGTAGCAAAAATGGCATTCAAAATTTTTTTATTTTTTTTCTTTGTATGATATAATGATTCTTTCATTTATATGAATTTAATTATCATATGTATGCATATAATCAGTAAATTAGTTAATCGTTCCTCTATTTGTTTATTTTAAAGGTAATTGAAATTTAAGGCTAATTTAATTTGAGAGTTCTACAATTTACCAAAAATGGACGATGAGCTGGGATATTTTTTTTTTTTTTCGAATAATTTAAAGACAAAATGAAGTATAAATAAAATATTATAATTTAACTATTTACTTTTTCAATGAAAATTTAAATTTACCTTGTGGGATTGCCTTTTTTAAAACAAAAATAATTGTTAGTAATTTTTGTAAAGACGCCTAAAAATATTTTTCTTCATTTTTCCTTTTCTATAAATTAGTAATCCAAAATTGGCGTTGATTTGTTTTTTTTTTTTTATACTGTAAAACTGTTATTGTTTATTATAATAGTGATAAAATATGATAAGATAATAATGTGATAATGAGGCGATAAGGGCAGTAATGATAATAGCAACTGGTAGAGAAGCATTCTATAAAACATTTGTTAAGGTGATAAAATTTTTTTTTGCTCAATGGATATTCTAACAAAATGATATCAATTGGCAAAATACACTCATATGATTGATAAAGGGGACACTGATAATTCTGATAATTGATTAGAAAGGATGAAAAATTTCATATTAATATTTTTTTTCTTTTTTTAATGAAAAGAGAATATTTATTCAAATGAATATAATTTTCTTTTTTTTTTTCCAGTTGTATAATTAGACAAATAATCAAGAAATTATTTCACTAAATAGTATTTTTCGTTTTGTGTTTGCTTTTTATCTATCAAAATTTATCTATCAGTTTTAATCAATCTTAGATCAGATTTGACTAATTACTGCTAATCTATCAGTTGCTGTAATTTGAAAATATTTTGATTTTGTGTAATTGAATTTTTTGTGTCAGAAGAGAAAGCTTAATCATAATTCAAATTATAATCTTTTCTTTCCATCACTTTTTTTAAATAATTAATAGACTGTAAGTTTAGTAATTAATAATTTATAAATGAGAAAATTTTACTTCAACAAAATGATTTAAAAAGAAAATATTGAAAGGCAATAACAAATGGTTCAATCGTTTTGACTGCTTTACGAATGACTGATTTTTTCATTTCACTTCAATTACATAAAAGTTCTCATTTTTATTTATTAACGCTTATTTTTTTCACTAAATTTCTCATTTTGCTTTAGCAACCTGAAAGCAAAACACTTGATGGATTTATTTGAAAAAGGATTTAAATACAAATGAGATCCAGATGTCAATTCATACGTCAATTATTTCCCATCAATGGATGACAACAACAACAACAACAACACTATGGCGCAAATTTAGTTAAATTTCAACGATTATTATTACTACCATTTATTATCATCATTATTATTATTAGCATTTATTATCATCATTATTATTATTAGCATTTATTATCATCATTATTATTATTAGCATTTATTATTATCATCATTATTATTAGCATTTATTATCATCATTATTATTATTAGCATTTATTATCATCATTATTATTATTAGCATTTATTATCATCATTATTATTATTAGCATTTATTATTATCATCATTATTATTAGCATTTATTATCATCATTATTATTGTTATCAGCATTTATTATTATCATCATTATTATTAGCATTTATTATCATCATTATTATTATTAGCATTTATTATTATCATCATTATTATTGTTATCAGCATTTATTATCATCATTATTATTATTAGCATTATTTTATCATTATTATTTATTATTATTATTATTTTCAGGTCATTCTTGATGTTTAAAGTGATGACCAACTGCATAAAAATACCCTTTCAAATCTATAAAGTAATCATTCGTGAAACTTTGATGAGTACAGAACTACACAAAGGTAATATATTTTTTGATAAAACTGATAATAATAATAATAATTAATAGATCTTTTAGCAAAATTAAGCCAAATATTTTGGACCAAAAAAAAAAAAAAAAAAATTTTAAATTATTTTGGAATAGTAGGCAAAAGTATTATGCTTGTTTGTAATTTTTGAGTAAGTGTAAGTTAGCTTTGAACGATTAGTATGTCTTATTTTTTAAAAGATTAAAAGTTTTCTTTTTTTTTTTAAAAAAAAAACGGAAAAAAATCTATGTTCGTTATATGGTTTGAAAAGTTTTTTTCCTTTTTTTTTTTTTTTTTTTTTTCCTTGAAACTCTTGCAAAATGCTAAAGAAAATGAATGATTTTAAAATTTAAGACTTTTTTTTTATTTATGACTTTTAAAAAAAATTTTTAGAATGTTTAACAAATGTTCTTTCGATTCATTCAAAAAAAAAAAAAAACATATGGTTCCAATCCTTTTTTTTCCCTACTATTTTTGATTTATGTTTATCACTTTGATAGCATTTTTTCTTGAACTATTTTATTTTCCTGCAATAAAAAAAAAAAAAAGACAGAAATAAATTTGCTATTGATCACATTTGCGTTGCTATCATTTTTTTCTATTTCGCTTTCGCTTTTAAAAAATAAAAAATAAAATAAAAGAATAAAAAAAAAAAAAAAAAAATGAAAAAATCTGCTAAGCAATTATGGAATGCTTACTTACATTTTAAAATTTTCAATTTAATTTAATCAAAAATGCTTAACATTTTGAAATTTACAATCTAATTTTCTAAGTCAGAAAAGTTTTCGGAGAATTAAACAGTTTAAATTTATTAAAAATTTTGGAATTTCTGACAATATATGATAACTTTTTAATGTAATGTTTGAATTCGTTGAGTTATAAATAAATGAATGATCGATTCATTATCTTCTGATCACAACAGATCAATTTTTTAAATTCAAATCATTTTATGATTTAATTAATATAGTAATTCGTTTGAAAATATCGCAATTAATTTTTTTTTTACTAAAAAATTAAAGCAAAAAAAAAATGCACTTTTGAAGTTTTGTTAAGTGGTAAAGTAAAAATTGAAATTTTGAATTAAAAAAGAAAAATATTTATTTTTTGATCTAACAATTTTGTTGTTGTTTTTTAGCCAAAAATTTGAAATCATTGTTTATGTTCAGCTATTCTTATTCTTTATAATTTTTAATTTTTTGTCAAATTTTACATTCATTTAAAATAGTTATGCTAATGTGACATAATTTGAAATGGCTTTTTGCTATCGGAAAAGAGATAAATTGAAATTGTTACTAAAAGTTAGATGAATAATGCATAATTTTCTTTTTCTTTCCTCATTCTTTTATTTTTGAATTAAAAAATTTTTTTTTTCTTTTTATGTTTTATAAAAATTAATTATTTTTTGTATAATTTAAATATTAAAAGAATTAAATCTATCAGTGATTTTTTTCTTTCTATTTTTGGAGACAAATTTTGGCATAAATAAGCGAATTTTTTCCTTTTTTTTTTTTTGTTTTTGTTTTTTTTTTTTTTTTTTTTTTTTTGTGAGTATTAGCAATAAATTTTGATTAGTGACAATAAGCAAACGATGAAAAAAAAAAAAAAAAACCAATCCATTATCATTTTATCATTTTAAAATTAATTATGGGACTATTCATTTGTCAAATATTTGAAATTTTACTACAATTTATTTATTTTGCTATTAAAAACGAAATGAAAAAAAAAAGAGAGAAAAGAAAAAACAAACAAACAAACAAACAAACAATGAATTAATCCTAAAAATATTTATGTTTGTGTTTTTGTCCTTTTTTTTTTTGTTAATAGCAATGCCTAATGTTATTAATTAAATTTATTTAACAAATTGATCGATTGAATTGGTCCCATTCTGCATTCAAACTTTAATTTTTTATTTTTATTAATTTGAAAAAAAAAGAAAACAAAAACAAAAAACATATTTCAGAAGTCATAAACGATCCTTAATTAAGCATATCAAAATGAATGGTTCAAATCATATAATTCAATCACTGATACATCGATTAATTCATTATGCTCGCGAAACGCAATGCAAAATGCGTTACATTCAAAGTTTGAATTTTTTTTTTTTTATTTTTATAAATTTTAAATGACATAATTTATGATCACTAATAGTGAAAATTGTAAATTTTTTGTCAAACTAATCAATAATGTAAATTTTTGTTTATTAAAAGTTATATTGATAACATTTCAAAGTTTCAGCGAAAATTTCACCAATTAATAATTACTTTTATCATTTTTTGATTGACTGAACATGGATATCAATATAGAAATTTAATATTTTGTTTGTTATTTTTTTTAAATTTACTTTTTAAAAAAAAGTTTGTCACAAATAATTATGAATTTGAAATGTTCCTAGAAATGATTTTCTTTATTAATTTCTCTTATTAGAAATATTAGATTAGAAATTTGCTTCGTTTTTTTTTTTCTCTCTTAAATTTAATTACATTGAAATTTTACTATTAAATTTATTAAGCTTACTTATGACTCGCTCATATCCTTCTTACATTGTTCAATGAATTTCAGAAATTATTTCAAATAATTCATTATTGATGCAATTTTAAGCATTCAAAATATTGAAGCATTTTAATCAGTGTTAAAAAAAAAAAAAATGAAAGGAAAAAAAGATAAAAATTGATAAATATCGATTAACATACCTTTTTTGAAATGAAAATATTTATGTATGCTATTTAATAAGTGAAAAATTACGTCATTTAAATCGATGAAAAAAATTTTTCATTTTCATTTTCAATCTGTTCAACAAGTATCAGTAGTCATTTCATTCTCTCTTCACTTTTTCTAATTCATTGTTACAATAATTGATTTTTCCACGAAATGTTAAGAACTACTCTGACAACTCAAGTTGAGAAAGTTATTCGAAAAACATCTAAAAAAATAAGTAAGTTAAATCATTTGCAAATAAAAATTTAAATTCAAATTTAGATTAGTTTACCTCGTATTTTAGTTTTATTTATTACAAAAAAAAAAAAGTTATTGTAAGATAAAATGGTCTTAAATGCTTTAAAATAAATCATTTTATTTGTTGTAAAAGTTTTCTAATTTTAAATTTGCGATCTGTGAATTTACGGATGGTTTAAATATTTCTAATATTTCTCTCATCAATTATATTAAAATACATTCATTTCTTTTTTTTTTTTTTGCTTTTAAGAATATTAAAATTATAGTATTCAGGAAATTCATCTTATGATCCGTTTCCGGAAATATCAAACAGTACCTTTTTCTTTTTTTTTTCTTGCTGTAAATATTCCGGTAGAAATTTTTTGCTTTTTCTATCAGTAAAACAATTTTTTAGCTCTTTTCTATTGATGGATATCATTTAAAATATTTGATTTGATTTCATCCATTTTTCTACAACATTAATTTTCATTTATTAACTCTAATTGTTACTTATAAATTTAATAAATCATTTAAAAAAAATCCATTCAAACAATTTGCTCAGTTCCCCAATAAATTTTACTGTTTATCTATTTTGATCATAAGTATCTTTTACCTGCTCATAGTTTATAATTTTACTTGCTACCTGCTCGTGCAGCTCAGGTAAATTGATATTCTTTTATTCACTACAAATAACCTTCTAGAAAAATCATTTTTCTCTTTGATCTTTTTTTCAACTGATTTGTCAAAAATTTCTAATTCGTTAACAAAAGGTATTCGTAAATTTTAAATGCTAAAGTAAAGCTAAAGTTAAAAGTAATTCAATGAATCTGTCGGATTCTCATCATTGTTAGCTTTGATTGATGTAAAAGGAAGAGAAAAGTGCTTACCTCATTCCTTTCTTTTCTGAATTATATGTTTTGAACTTTAAAAAGTTTCAAGGTAAAATCTCAGATTACGAATAATTGTAACTTTTTTCATTTTTATTAGTGAAATTTAATCAATCAACGTTGTTTCATTATTTTTTCAAACTGATATCGATTATATTCTAAGTTTATTATTATTTATAATTATTATTTATTGTTATTATTATTTATTTGTTTATTGTTATTATTAGTATCATTATTTATATTATTATTACCATTGTTGGTAATTATTATTATTTATTTCAATTCACATAATAATCTATTTAATAAACTTTTTAGTTTGATTATGACAACGGATGTTGTTTTTAATTGCAGTGCAATAATTCGACATTTCCTTAATCAATCCTACCTGATTTTACCTGTATTACTTTCTTTCTTTCACTTCATAAAATCATTCATCTGTTACATATAATAAAATATTCGTCAATGTTTTAACAGGAATTTAATTTTGCATTTTTTTTCAGGATCCGGTTACGCAATCATATATATTATCTGTAATCATAATTGAAAACATTCATTTAAAGTTAACTAAAAGCAATTCTAAAATTTATACATTGATTTAAATATAACTAAATTATTTGAACAAGCTGTTAGAACTTTTCATTTAAAAGTTAGAATAATTAGAATAACTGGAAATTCAGCACTGCTATGTAAAGCGATTCATTTCTTCACTGATTTTTAAGAGTAAAATGAATAAGTAAAGATGAAACATCTTCAAAGCATTATATTTTAATATTTTAACTCATTAATTTCAGCTAATCGAATTTTTAATTTAAAAATTTCTATCCATACTCTAATCACACACAATGATTGTAATAATTGAATCAAAAAAAAAAGAAAAAAAAAAATCTTTTTTATAGCTTTCAATTTGTTTGCTTTTGAATTTGATATAAATTTATTTTTATGACAAAATTCTTTGCATTAAAATTTTTTATTTCTTAACCATTTACAAGTAATTTAATCTAATTGTAAAATGTTAACAAAAATTTCTCTTTTTTTTTTTTTTTATATATAAAAGCAAATGTAGGATATAAAGTAGAAAATTTGTCGTAAAAATTCACTGAAGTGGAAAATTTTGTGCTCAATAAAACTACACAAATAAGCATTTTTGTTTTTGAAAACAATCAAAGAATAAATAAATAAATAAATCATTCACATTTAACCTAAATGTGCTTTTAAGATTCAAAGAAATGATAAGAATTATATAAAAAGCCAAACAATAAGCAAAATGTCATCAACTGAATGACATTTTTCCTCTTTTTTTTTTCTTCATTTCTTTTTTTTTGAATAACATCGCTTAAAATCAAATTTTCATTTTTTTCTTTTTTTTTTTTTACTCTAATAAAATTACATTTAAAATGAATAATTATAATATTTCTGATATGATAAATTATTCAAACAAAGATGTTAAATTAGAAGAATAACTGATATAAAATTACACCTATATTAAACCATCTAATTATATTTGAATATTTAAACTCTCTTAGCATTTTAAAATTTATTAGACTTTATTTTCCTCACAAATTCTTCAATATTTCATATTTAAATGATTTAAATTACGTTTATCATTTTATAATCACATTTATCTTTTTCATTTCTTCGTTTTACTTTTTAATTTTCTATCTTTCTTGAAATTTCAGAAAGTGAATATTTAAATAATAATGCTACAATTCTCATTTCTACTTTTTTTTTTCTTTCCTTTATTTTATTCATTTATGTGTCACACATTGTTTCCGTTAGATAATACTTAAGAATTCTCCTTTTTGCGCTTTTGTCATCTTCTGAGTTCATTTATAGCAGTTATTACTTACTTATTTATCATTGCAACTCTTTGAATATTCTCTTTTGCTAATATTTATTTGTGAAATAAAATGAAATTCTTTCATTTTCATACTCAGTTTTTGATGACAGTTTCATCAATTTATTTTTTTTTAAATTAAATCTCAATTTCAATTTTCCATTTTCAATTCTTACTTGAACAACTACTTTTTATTTTCCATTTATTTCGTTGAAAAAAATTAAATGTTATTTACATGTGCTTAAATAAAAAAAAAAAAAGCTCAAAACAGATTGAATTATTTGACAATTTGCTAAGCAAATGAATGAATTGAACAAAATTACAGATGAAAAAATTTTAAAAATTGTTTTGAATGAATTTTAATTTGATTAGAATGTTGATGAAAACCATTGCATACTAAAAACATTTACCTTAACATCATCTGACAATCTTATCACTCATTAAGTTAAGTGAAAGTGATTAGTAAAGATTTTAGTTAGAACAACTCAATGTTTAATAATTTTACATCAGTCTAATAACATATCATATCATAGAACTATTTTCATTTTAAAATTTTAAATTTATCCTTCTAAAAATTGATGCTTACATATTTTGAAAAATCCTTTCACAAAGTTTATTTTCCTTTTGAAACATGGTAAACATCATTATAATTACCTGATTTTTAGCTTATACTTTTCCTTTCCATCAGTTTTTCTTACTTTCTCCTATTTCTACGACTATTGCATGAAATGTTTTCATTTATAAATGAAATTAAAATTAAAAAATTGATTAATTTAAATCTCATATAAAATTATAAGAATAACAAGTATCATTCAATATGAACGATATGAAATGTTACATTTTAATTATTATATTATTTCAATAAAAAATTTTAATATTACTTAGGAAACTATCAATTTTGTTTTGAATGCAAAATTAAAAAATTGAAATTTATCATTTCTAAAATACTCAATATATTTAGTTGGTATACAAATAATAAATACATATTTCATAGTTGTTTATTAATTAGTAGAATTTTCTATAATAATAGAACTAAATAGAAATTTTTGTCTTTTTTTTCAAGTTAAACTTAACATAAGCTTAAAAGCCATTACAATTTATAATCGTGGTAATATTTGATAATTTATTTTTCATTTAAATTAAATAAAGTATAAATTAAGAAAAACCAGTATGATATATGCTAAAATGAAATTAAATTTTATTTCAAAATTGAAATTTGTAAGTCAAAATTTTAGCAAACTTTAACAATTGTTTGTTTTTATTTTACTTCAAATTTAGATAGCAATAATTTGTTTAAAAAAAAAAAAAAAATGTTTTTCATTGATTTATCATTAATTTACTATTTTGTTATGAAAAAAGAAAAAAAAATTTTTTTATAGTAAATGAAAAGAAATATTTTGCATATATTTCTTAAAATAGTAAATTAATTTTACTTTATTACTTACTTACTTACTCAGTTAATGTAAGATTGAGAAATAGTCTTAATTACATTCACATTTCATTTACATAATCAGAAATGGATTACTTATGTTATTTTATTTGTTTATTTGTCAAACAAAAAAAAATTTACTTTATTACTTACTTACTTACTCATTTACTTACTTACTTACTTACAGCAATGGAATCTGATGAATCAACTGAAATAGTAAAATGGGAGGCAAACATTCAACCACCAACAATTGACGAATTACGCACATATACGAAAAATGCGTTTAGTTGCAAATATATCAAATATATGTATTCTAAATTTAAGAATGTTCGTTTTTTAACTTTTATTAAATTTTATTGAACTTTTTTTTTCTTTTTATAAAATCTAAATTTAGGAACGTTTTCCATTTATTTTATTAAATAATTCTAAAAATTTTAATCGAATTTTAAGAGATAATTAAGAGCAGCAAATAGTATAATAGAATATTTGAAATATAATTAATATTGGAGAATAAATTTTTGATATATTTTAATTAAACAAATTTTATTGCTTAATTTTTCCTAACTAACTAATAATCATTAAAGTAAATTGCAGGAATGTCCAACAGGCAGAATGCGTGTAGCTAAATTTAAAAAAATGTTTGGTTCCTATTTTCCATTGCATCTCGATGAAGAATACATTTTGAGGCTATTCACAGCATTTGCTAATGGTAAAGAAGAAATGACTTTTAAGGTGCTTAAAATTTATTTTTGTTTTAAATTTTAAATTTAACAGAAATTTTAAAAAATCAACGAAGATAATTTATTTAAATTAGCATTTCAATAGGCTAAACAATTTAGCATAAACAGAAATATCATCAATCTTTACAATAATGTGAAAGGAAGAAATAAATAAAGCAAAATAGAATGATTGATTTTAAATTAATTATTTAGATATTGATTTATTGTTTGTTGAAAATCAAAGTAAAAATCAAAGTAAGTAACAATGGAATTAGTAATCTATTAAATTCGTTGATGCAAAAACAATTGTACTTTTTGCGCCATTTATATTAGTTATGCAAAACAAATATTTTTTAATCTTTAATCATATTTTTTACTTTATTGTTAATTTACTAATACTTAGTTCATATTTCTGATAAATGAGTAATGTTAAGCTAAAAGCAAAAAATTTTTTTTTAATTCAAAATGTAAAGTAGCATATACCATTAATAATACTAATGAAGTATTTGATTTAGCAGTTACTAGAAAATTGTAAAAACCATAGCTTAAAACTGTCATTTTCTTTAATAAGAAAGTAGCAAATAATTTAACCTTTGATCAAATTTTTAATTGAACGGAAAAAAAAGCATTCGAATATTGTCAAAGTTACTTAACTGTTGTCGCCATTATTTGATAATTTGCTGTTACTGCGATTATAGACGAAACATATTTGAGTAAGAATGTTGAGTAAGTGATAGTAGAAGAAATCAAATGAAAGTCTTCAGGCTAAATTGGTGATCAGAAACATTGCAAAAAGTTAGCTCCTAATGATTATCTGGCCAAATGTCCCAGTCAATAAATACTTTGAAAGCTGAGTCACTTGGCCTGGTAGAGTTCTGGCCTCATCCACCATATCCATCTGTCCTATTCTCAATTAATTGGACAAATCATTGCAAGGAAAATGCTTATATAATTAGCTAACTGTAGCAAAGAGTGCTTCGATTTTTTTGTTACAATTATGAATAAACTTCTTTTTATTTTGTTTCTTCTTTTGATTATTACAGGTGTGTCTGAGTTTAATTATAATACTTTTAGAATTTAGGTTTTCAAAATGTAATTACTTTTGCATTTGTAAAGGTAATTGTTTACAATGAAATTAGGAAAGAATAAAGGAATGAAATTTTATCAGTATTGAAGTGAAAACCGTTTTAGGATCTTATGGAATCATTAGCATTGCTTTATTTATCAACACCGGAAGCAAATGCAATTTGGACAATTCGAATGATTAAAGGTTCCGATGTTGAAGCAATTACAGAAGATGTATGATCAGTTTTTCAAGTACTTTTAGAATTTCTGATTATGAATTAAATTTTTAACAAAGCTAACAATTTATTAATGATTTAAAATTTGAAATTTTAATTTAACTTTTATCATTCATACGTTCAAGTTTTTTATCTTTCATTTGCTACTATTAGATTTTTTTTTACAGTTTTTTAATTAAATGTATTATATTGTGTCTAAATATAATATCTATCTAAAAAAAAAAAAAAAAAATAAACGAGAATTCTGATCAAAATAATTTCAATTCATTCAGGATTTGATAGATTTTGTGAAATCAGTTTTCCGATTAGCAATGCTTGGAAAGTCAAAACATGGAAACAAAGTATCTGATTGCAATTTTCATATGATCGATACAGCATTGCAAAATATTGCTATCCATCGCTCACATGGTACATTCAAGGTATTATTAAATTATTATCAGCTAATTAATTAATTAATTAACTAATTGGAGTAGAATAAAAATTAGTGAAAGTAAAATTTCAAATGCTATTAAAATTATCATATATTTGTGATAACTTGAACACTCTCGAGATAAATCTGATAGATTTGTGATTGATCACAGGCGCTCGATAAAGATGGCAATGGCTATATTTGCAAATCTGATTTTGTCAACTTTTTTCAGGTTTATCCTTTTTCATATTATTATTAAATAATTGAGAATTTATATGAGAAATGCCAAATGTAGCAACTTTTTTCTTCTGTTTTATTAGTTTGCTAATTTTGTTCATTGATTAAATTTATTATTCAAATTTTTACAGAGAAAAAAAAATTACTGAAATACATGATGAGACAGAAAAAATTTTAAATTTCATACATACAAAGAGGAAAATAATTTGACAAAAACAAGAAGTTGAATTTAAAATAAAATTCAATTTTCCTTCTTCTTTTTTTTTCCAGCAAAATGGTTGTTTGGATCCAGTTTTCATGAAATCATTTATACGCTTAAAAACGCGGTAATGTGAGAAAATAAAAATGAAAAACAAATTTAATTTTTGTAATCTCTCAAAAGTGCTATTATTATTATTATTATTGGTAGCAAATATGTATTTTAACATTGAAATAAGAAAAATCAGAGATGAAATAATATCCATTGTAACTTTTTTTGTTTTTGTTTTTTTTTTTGTTTTAATGTGTTTTTTCATTGTTATTAACGAAAAAGGGAAATAGTGGTGGAAAATGTTGACAAATTTCTTAATTGTCAAACGTTTACATTTGATTTAGTTGTAAATTTCAACGACAAACTAAGTATTTTTTTTCTGATTAAAAAAAAAAAAATTTAATTAATTCAATCAATTACATACGTACATATCAAATATGTTCCTATGGGTCTAGGCAATCTAAAATGTTATCTGTATTTTTAGAACTAATATGTTCATTAAATTATGTATGGAAGCAAACAAATTTATTTCATTTGAAAATGTTTTAATTAATTGATATTTACAAATGATCTCGCTTTTGATATTATTAATGTTTGAGAAAATTTGAGAATAAACGAAATGATAAATTAGCATTGACATTAATAGAATACAAAATAATAAATTTAGCATTTTAAGGTAAAAGTAAGAAAAAAAATTTCAAATCAACCTTATAATTTTTAATTTTTTATTTAAAAAAAAAAAGAAAAAAATTATACATTGAGAGAAAATGTAACAAAATTAGCATAAGAAATGTCATAATTCTCTGCTGGTCAAGTTTAAATTAAATGAAGATCTATCTGTTGACCTCTAAGTTTTCTTAATTCTGTAATGTGTCAGCCAAACTTTTCTCGATGTTAATCTTGACAAATGTAATTTGTTTAGGAATATACTCTATTTAATCAAATAAATGTTTTCAGCAAACAAAAAAGATTGCAGAGAGAAGTAAGTGATTGTAAAGAAATTTAAGGACAAAATAAAATTAATTTACAAAAAAAAAAATGCACAAATAAAATTTTATAAATATGTGTACCCAAATGTAATTATTTCAATTTTCAAATTTTATTGATCCAATTGTGTAATTATTTCAAATTTTCAAAATTTAGTAAAATGGCTCCATACTTTTTCCATTATTTCTCTTTTTTTTAAAAAAAAAAGAGAACAAAAAATCCGAATCGGTACTAAGTTAAAAGCATCAGAATAAGTGATGTTAAAATACACTATCCTACAGGAAAATAATAACATTTCTCGATAATTATACAGAAATGACCTTTCTCTCTTTTCGTACAATACATTTCGCTTCTTTCTTTCAGATGAATTTCTACAAATAATTATCGCATAGGTAATTTATTAACAGAAGTAATTAACAGATCATTTATTATTTACGACATATATGTATATATTTTGGCTTTTTTCAATTAAAATTGCAAAAAATATGAAATGGTGTAGATAACTTCTTACCGTTCATTATGTTTCTTCGTTTATCCTACATTTTAGAAACTTAGAAATAAATAGATAAATGAAACTTTGAGGTCATACTAGTTTCAAATTATGAAATATCATGAAATGCAAAATGAATTTTTGAAAAAGAAAAATTAACGATGAAATATAACTATATATATTATTGTTTATACATTTTATTATACAATTCTATTAGTTATCAAATTACGAAAATACCAAAAAGGCTATTAGCTATCAAAGAAAACAAACAAACAAACAAATAAACAAAATTATACAAAATCATCAGGCATATTGCCGTAAATAAGTCGTACATCACAATTGATTATTCTACATTTACACAATATTATGACGATTAATGGTACAAAATATAGCACAATACTCCATCGATAGAGTAAATAAGACCATAAATTATATAATGATATTTGTTGAGTACTTTCCAATACTGAAATATACTATCAATTAATTAAATTATTAAAAACTTATCAATTTAATTCATTATCAGAATTTTGCTACATTTATATTAATTTAATTTACTCTCTCCCTCTCTCTCTCTCCCTCTCTCTCTTTTTTTTTCTTATCAAAAATATCTATCCTGAATGTTTAATTAAGATTTTCAATTTTTTTCTTTTTGTAATAAAGGTCAATGAATATGATTATTGTAAGTAGCACATTTTATTCCATTTATATTTCAAATAAATCATAAATTTGCACATCGAAAACTAAAAGCTAAACAATCAAAAAAAAAAAAAATAATAAATAAATAAAATAATAATAACCGGAAACTGAGTGACTTGCAATTAAATTATTGACTTCCGGAGAGGAAAACATAATTGAATTGCTATAGTCGCATTTAGCAGCATCACTACAAAGTGATTGTGCATCACTTACATCTCCAGTACATATCATATCACTTGTTATCACGGATAGCAGTAACAACGATAACGTAAAGCATCGAAACATTGCATCTGAAATGCTATCATTATTTCTTGTTGCTAAGTTAGCACAAAGCATAATGTATACACACAGTGATAAAAGAAAAAAGTCGAAAATGAAACAAAATAAAAATCAATATCAAAAAACAGAACATTTTCTTTTTTTTTTTTTATACCTTCAAAAATTTTGAAAAAAAATTTTAAAGAAAAATATAAAATTGAAATATAAAAGTAAAAAAAAAAAAAAATTGAAATATTTTATCTACAATTTACACTATACATTTTGATTTGTACTGCAATTAAGTATGTAAAATTAGGATAAAATTTATATTCATCACTGAATAATAAATAAAAAAACGAACAAACAGTAAAAAAAAAGAATGGAAATGAAAGGCTAATCGTTTTAAGAATATCGAACTTATAATTTTTAAAAGTTCAAGGTTCAAACTTTACTCTAATAATCATTTTGTTTTTTTCTTTTCTCAATTTTACATCATTTTTTTTTTTTTTTTTTTTAAATTTATTGTAAACTGTATTAGAGAATAAATGATTGAAAAATTGATGCCTTTCGAGTGCTAGCAAAACATAAAATATTCAAATGAATTTGTTACAAATTAGCTATAATTTGTAATTATGTAAACATATCATTTATTGATTGCTTTTTCTGATAACAAATTTTTCAAAGAAGAAAAATATTTTTTTATAAATTTTGGAGGGAAAGAAAATAATTCCGCACCAATGAATTGATAAACATCAATAATAGATTTCAGCAAGAAGCAGTTGGGAAAATAAATGAAAATAAGCAATTACATAGCAAGAAAGACAGAGAGAGAGAGAGAGAGAGAGAGAGAGAGGGAGAGAGAGAGAGAAAGGAAGAAAGTGAGGGATGAAAATGGATTCTGATCAACTGTTAAGTTCAAAAACAATATCTCATAGGCTATCTTCAAAATGAAAATATAATACTTTCAAAATTGATTGCAGATTATCAAAGAATACAATAAATTTGACTGTAAGTAAACAATTTCAAAAGATTAAATTGAAATTCGCTGAGAATTAAATTTGCAACTTTGAAAATAAAAAAAGATGAAAATTTTAATTTATGAATAATATAAATTTATTTTATTGATACAAATATTGTAGGAGGGATTTTTTAGTGACAAGAAAGAAGATAGAAAATTAGTGAATAAATAAAAGTAGGTTATTTCACCAAGCAAAAAATTGAATACAGGATCCCCTGTTTATTTTTATTAAATTTTTGCACTTCTTAAGATCGAAGATCATTAAAGATGTACAAAGGGTTATTCACTGAAGAAAAAATTATCGTTGAAAAGTTAGGTTAATCATTCAGATGGACAGGTATGATGTTGACAGGATAAATGATGATGCATCATGACATGAGAATTTGTGTATGGGAAATTCAGGTGACCTAGATAAGAAATATTGTACCATGTCGTGGAATGAATATTCTTTTTGGGATATGGTATACAGTGGAAAGTGATATATTAGGAACAAAAAGTAAATTGAAAAAGTTAGAGTGTAAGAAAATAATGTTTACACAGAACGCAAAAAAAAAGAAAAAAAAAAGAAAAAAGAATACATTCGCTAAAAAATTAAAAGAGAATAAATTTAAAAAACGGAAAAAGATAGCAAAGATTAGGTGTGATTGAACGTGAAAATAGTGCATTGCAATCAGTACATTTGCGCCAGCTGAAATGCACATTTGCGCTAGATTTAGAATTTTAGGAATTATGCTATTGCATTTAAACAGTAATCTTACGCAGTAGCGCACTGATATGGTAAAGAATCACAGTGCATTTTATTTTTATTGATATCTATTACTTAAATAATTTACTTAAATAATTGTATAATATAAAAAATAATAATAATAATAATAATAATAATAGTTGCAGGTTATTACCACAAGTAATTAATACTTACCAAAATTATTGAATTATTCTTAATATCTAAATTGATTTCGTTGTTGTGAAGAATAGAACAATAACAAGAAAAAACGATGATAACAGATATAAGCACAATTATTCAATAAAATTATAAATGAATGCTTATATATTTACTATAGCAAATGTTACTATGCCTGCTAATATCATAAATTATGCTTAAATGTTATCAAAAAAAGGGAAAAAAACACTAATATTATAAAATAGGTAGTGATAATTGTATGAATGTGATAAATGATAACAAACATCATAAGAATGATAATAGCAATTGATAACAACTAACATCATGAAGGTTATAATAGTAACTGATAATGGCATTAAGTTGTAGAAATTGATAATTAGCTTTTACATTTTTTATACAATTATAGATAGAAAAGATAATTGATACTTTTTACTTTTTTTTATTGTTCTTTTGCTAGGTAAAAAAGAAAAGAAACAAACAAAAAAAAAAAAAGGATTGAAATGATTTCTAAAATTGTTCGATTGTATTGTAAATTCGAAATGATAGCCATTTCTTTTATGATGGTAATAAGAAATGATAATAAAGTTGAAACATTTGATAATCATTTAATTGCTAATATTTTCTTAGAAGATAGTATGGAAGATTTTTTTCATTTCTTTTTTAATTATATTTTTAAGTTAATCTTAAGAAGTATATAACAATGTCATGATTTTTTTTTTTTTTATCTGAAAATCACCTATTAAAGTAATTTTGTTTGATAAAGTAAAGATAAATTTGAAGAAGTTTATGGCATATTTCAATGAGTACATAAGTTTTCAAATTACTTTAAAGATTTATAATGAAATATTTAAACCAATTTCATTTATACAAAAGTGGATAATACTTTGTTTCTTTATTAGATTTTGATAAATTCAAATTAATTAAGCAAGATTTCGTAAAACTTACAACACAATAATTTTAATCAACAGCTGAAAAACTCTGAATACTAATTTTTGAGTGTTGCAATGACTGAAACTTTAAAGTGCTCGAAGAAAAAGAGTGATAAAGTGATAATATTGATGATAACGAAAGCAATGATAGTAAAGATAGTAAAGACTGAACTACTAGTACTGAAAATTCCAGAATGACGTTGTTTATGTCATAATAATTACATCAATAAAATTAATTCATTCAATAAAAGACGAAAGAACATATTATTATAGAATTTAACTTTTAATTGAAAATCAAACTTGATTTGAAATAAAATTTTATTAAAATAAGAAATTGAAAAAAAAAAATGAACTGAGTGGAGCAATTTGTACTAAAAACAATAACTGATGATAACGACTAAAAGTAGGAACTACTGAACTGATAGCAAATGATAGGGAAATAATTTTGAATTGTTGTCGTGAAAACGATGAAATGAAAGAGATTAAATAATTGATCAGAAATCAATTTAGATGATTTATCTTTAATTATTTCATTTATTATTAAAGTATAATGAAATTATAATTTATATAATGAAAAAATTTAGTATAAGATGGAAAAAAAAATTAAAAGTATAATGCAATTAAAATTAACTAATTAGCCGACAATTTTAGCATAAATCCATTGTATCAGTTCTTAGTTATTTCTGCAATTTCTCGTCTAATTAAGAATTCATACTAAATATTTTCAGTAGCTGTCTTGTTGACCGGATGTACGCTATGGAAGTATTCCGGAAAAAAAAATTACGAAAAAAAATGAAACATATTTTAAGAATAAATTCGCTTAAAGCAAAGAGAAGGAAAAGTTGGATAATTTTTTAAAAATTTCTGTTTGTAAATTAATAGTTTTAAATGATATACTATTGATAATAGGAATGAATAATAATCAGCAAATAATTATAAACAAGCAAAAATAATTTCACAGTTTTATAAAAATGGTGATTATTAATAATAATTTACATCTAGAAATGCAAATTAATGATGGATAAAAATAATAAATATTAATGAAATAATTAATTATGATTACTTTTTAATTTTTAAGATTAATCTGAAATGAGAAATATTGATGAATTGTCCATCTAAGAGTACTAAATTCTATTTAATCTATAATAGGTAAATGGAATTTATGTAATTCATAATACTTTCCATAAATCGATTAAATTTTAATCGAAAAAAAAACAATGAAAAAAGTCGAAGGAGCTTGATGGAGAGAGAGAGAGAGAAAGAGAGAAAAAAAAGGAAAACCTAAACAAACTAAACAATAAGATATTAACCAGAAATGTTAATTAATATTACTTATCTTGAAGATATAACAAAAACAGGTAGGTAAGAGAGGTGACACAAATGACACACAAATATTTTGTTTGCCTTTTTATGTAATCTATGATAAGCAATGATAATAAATCTATGATAAGCAATGATAATAAATCTATGATAAGCAATGATAATAAATCTATGATAAGCGATGATAATGATATGATTAGCTATTATTATTATTATTATCATTCACTAAATATGAAAAGAAATGCATAGAATATGTGTAGCAAATAAAAATAATAAAATTGAAATTAGAAACGACAAGGATTGATTTAAAGTAAATAGTAAAATATAAAGCAATAAATGATGGATTATAGGTGTGAGAGTAAGTAAGAAAGAGAATAAGAAAGATGAGGAGACGTTAGTGTATAATAATATTGTTGGGAGGAAGAAGAGGGAGAGAGAAAGTAATCAAGTCTCATAGGGTGAATGTAGAGAGGGAGAGAGAGGGAAGTTGACGAATGGTTTGATGTGATGATTGCTTGGTTTGTTTGTTTAGGGAGGGAAAAGATTGATGAGAATACTGTTAGGATAAGGAAATCAATTGTGAGAATTAATCATTGATATGAAATGAATAAGTGGAAGAAAGTTTTCTACGTTTTTTTTTTTTTTTTTTTAAATAATATATTAAATTTTTCAAAATTACGAAATTTAAGTAAAATGATTTAAATATAAATGGCTAATACTTAAGTTAATAAATGTTTTAATCCTTTTTTTTCTGGCTAATTCAATTTATTACTTAATTTCAATAAACAAAACGAAAAACACAAAGAAAGAAAGAATGAATAAAAGGAAGATTTTATAATTGTTTCGTTTTGATATATTCGAGATTAGCCCTGTCTCTCTCTCTCTCTCTCTCCCTAAAATTATTAATTAATAGTAACGAATAATAATTAATTAATAATAACGAATAATTATCTAAATCTTGAAGTATTGCAAATATTTGGAGAAAAAAAAAGATGAAATACCAAAGTAAATCATTGAACACTTCAATTTTGATTTTCCTCAGATGAAAATATTAAAGTAAAAAGGTGAATCTGACTGAGATGCAAAGTTGTTTCATTCCGCCCTTCGTACCACCATCATCAGCAAAAAGGAGGGAGAAATGTTAAGTACTTCACGGTTCAGTAACGTTTTTCATTATTTCCTGAGATATGGTAGTTCCTGATGATTTATTCGCTAAACCGGTTAATAACATTCAGGAAACATAAAGGATAATTCTGAAACTAGTAATCAAATATTAATTAATGGTGAAATTTTAAGTGGAAGTGGAGTATTATAAAGAGATTAGATAAAAATATGAGGAGAAAATTTAATGTAGCGGAATTAAGTATGGTGAAGAATAGTGATTGTTTCGCAGGATTAAAGTGATGTATTTTCCGTTTGAGATTAGTCCTGTCATGATTTGTTGGAATTTTTGACAATTATTAGATATCAAGTATTTTAAATGATAACATTTCCTCTTGTTTTCAAGGTTGTACAGATAAATATTGGAATTATCTATTCTTAGCTATAATTATTGATTCATCCGACTTTTTTCTTTTTTTTTTTTTTTTTTCAAAGTAAATGTTTGGATAAATTTTCAGGCCGAAGCAATAATAATTGAGTCGAATTCAGTTTCAGATTTTTGATTCTCCTGTATGTATTCGGTACTGCAGTCACTTTGTTGTTGTAATGGAGAAGGTAGTGATGATGAAGGGCCGTTGATAAACGATACCGATAGTGGTCATTTTGGGACATCTACGTTAGTTCGCTTTCTGTTGTCTGATGTTTCATCTGAAATACTATTATAATCAGATTTTAAAAAATTAAAGTATTAGGGCAAAGAGCGCATGCGAATATATTTTTTTTGAAAGTTATATTTTAAGAGACTTCTTGTAACTCTGATAAACTAATTGTTTTCTTCATGTAATATGTATGTATGTTTTTCACAAGATGAAGACTATTCTGTCATATTTATTTATTGCTTTCTATTAATTTAGTGTTCATGAAAGATGGGGCAGGATTGCATTCAAAACTTAATAGAGATTAAAGTGTTGCAGGTTAATATCCTAGTTTTATAGGGACCAAATTTTTGGCCTGGTAAGAAAGTAGGAAGATGTGGTGATCCCAGTTTTCTTTTTATCACAGCGATACTAGAAAATCTTATTAATCTTATTAATAAAAGAAAATCTTATTAATCTTATTAAAATTCATCTTATTATTTTGTTGAGAAAGCTTTTATCTAAATATTCGTCTTTAGAATTCATATTTGCACACATTTATTAATTATTTTATATTTTTAGACCTTGTGATTCAACTAATTTCTGGGTAAACGATGTGGAACACCACATAGCATCTAACGGTCCTGGCAGTTTTCGGCAGAGTAATGACGAAGATGAATTATTAAATCAAATTCTGGAAACTACACAGCAAGTAACACTTTTAATTGTGAAAGCATTTAAAGCAATTTTCATTCAGTTTTTGAAAAGACAGATTCCATGAAAGAGAGTTCTATCTTCTGGAGTTGTTTCATAAAAGAATCTTCTAACATGTCATAACAGGATCATAAGAATATCAGAATTGCCGCAGAATTATTTGACGAGGTCAAATATGAAGCCTTTTCTAAACGATCTGTGATATCTTACCTTTTAACTGTAAATTGTTACCTGTAATTTGTAAACAGTGCAGGTTGATCCAGTTCAGGCAAGCAGATATTAGCACATATTAAACAATAAAAAGTTGGAATAGGTTAAACGAAAAAATTAAATTTGTGGATAAAACAAGTTCCTCCCTCTCAAAAAAAAGAATTTTTCCAAAAAATTTTATTCTTTCAAATTCATTTTGGGATTCTCACAGAAAAGAAAAAATTTTTTAAATAATTTTTGGTTTCCTCGCTTTTTCATGGAGTAGAAGATCAGAAAGCAAATTTCTATTTATTTTGTCATTATTTGAGTTAAAATGTTGGAAGAAAATTATGGGTAGTATTATCATTTATTTTTGTTAACATCTGAGCTTCATGTAATTCATAGAATTGCTAAAATAATGTGGATGCAACTATCAAGTTAGCATTACTACTTTGTTAAACTAGTAGCAGTAATGTGATAGGCATTGTATAGTAGTGCATGCTCTTGAAAATTTGCACTTATTTGGTGCATCTTGTGAGTATTGAAGGGAAATTTCACAAAATTGTTCTATTTTTTTATTGAGGTTAAAATGTATCTAAGATTTTATTGAGTTATATCATTTTTTGATTAAACAACGATTGACATAATTGTGCAAAAATAAATGGCCAATAATAGAGCACAAAAAAGAAATACATGTTACTACTTTCTTTCAGAACATAATAGATGTTGCTAATATGGATGGTACCACAGCGCCATATAAAGAAGACTTATCAAAAGCCCAAAGATATAGTGATGCAGTCAGACAACATGATTTACGAATTCGGAGGCATAATCTTAATACGACTGCAGAAGATGGTTTCTTCTATAAATTTTCCTATTAATGCAGAGAAAAAGTAGAAAAGGAAATGGAAAAAGCTATTAGTTGTGCTATTATATGGCATGTAAAGGTCATTCTTCACTTTTTTTAAAAATGATGTTCTTTCCTGCTACATCTTTGCTGGTCTTTTCTGAGTTTCTCGTTCCTTCGCATTTTTCAAAGAAAATATTTCCCTTCTTTCTACTTTTTACACGAAGCTTTTTTCATTGAGATTCAACATTTTTGTCTGAATTATTGATTTTCCATCCGTCTATTTTCTAAATCCAATGATATTGGAATACTTTAAAGAAGCAAATGTAATGGTCTTGAATATCATTTACTGCAGTAAGACTTAGCTGTTGATCTCTCATTGCAGATTTGTGTCTCCTGTTCGATGTTGGACAGCGAGCGATTGAAGTGCTGCAGCGACCATCATCAAATTTCACAGCGCATTCTGATTTACGAGAATTTGCAAGGAATATGTCCAATGCAATGGTAAATGGTATACAAATTGAACACAAACAGGATATCCTTATCCACATGACTTTTTCGGATGATGAATAATTTTGATATGAAATAATCAGTGAAGGAAACTGTTCAATTTCAAAAAGTTTAAAAGATTTAACTCTCAATTTATTTATTTTCTTATAATCAGTGGAGTTTTTTGAAAAAGGTAATGGCTAATAGACTTTAAAGGGAAAAAACTTCAGTCAACACTTTTGTTTACTTCAGTTTTAAATTATGTATTTTCCAATGATATCAGATTGCTAGAGTCAATTTTTTTCCCTTTAAATTTTGTGCTTTAGCAGTAATATATTTTTCAACGAAACTTTCATGTAAATTGAGATACTGGTGGTGCGCGCAGATTTTTAGTGTGCTCATGCTTTGCTTCGATTTCCTGTTCAGTGATTTTATATTTGCCTTAAAAAAAACTGATATGCATCCAAGTGATATTGATCTAGTTGATTCCTAATGCCTCATCTCTAAACAGTGGAAGTCGTATCAGTTTTTGTTAAAGAGATTAGCTCATTTGTTACTTCATTTCTTTCGACTTTTTCTGTAATTAGCAATTTAACGAAAAAAAAAAAAAAAAAAAGAAAAAACCGTTATATTGCCCTGACTTTACTCTTTTGGAGAAGTTTTCATTTCATGATACTTCTAAATTTACAAAACTTGCGATGAACAGCAAGAAAAAGTAATTATTTATCTTCATGATGAAATAATAGATGAAAGAGTGATTATGACCTTCCATTAATTCCTTCTTTCGGTAGATGTTTAATTTTTCTTCTGAAGACATCTCTGACAAGCGTATATTTTGGATATAAATGGTTTTTTTTTTTTTTTTTTTTGAGGACGTTGGTTTCTTTTTATGCTAACGAAATTATGACTCATCAGTTTTCGGCACTTCGGAACTTAACGTTGTCTCAGCTTCTCGATCTGATTTGTATCGTCAAAAGGAAAAGATTATTGAAACAGGTGGTTCTGATATTTATCTGGCATTTTCATATTTTTTATTACTTGACTAAACCAGCTGAATATTTTTTGATTTTTAAATAACCATAAATTCTATCGTCAATGGGATACCATTTGATAAGGAGTGGCTGTTATTTGTTCTCAGAGTTGGGGCGCATTCCAACTTTTTTTTCTTTTTTAAATAAGCTATTCAGCTGTAAACGGCCTAGCGATTTTCGTATAAAATTAAGATTCAAATCATGTTGCGATTTAGAAATTAGATTATTCACAACTGACACATTTATTATGATGGTCCTGATTACGTGCTAGTGGCAGAAAACTATTCATTATTTAAAAATACAACAATAAAAAAGAACAAATTGGTTAAAAGTTAAATGACTAGAAAAGTGACATTTAATGAAAAGAGATCCAATCCAAATGATTATATTTTATCATAAGTGTCACATTTAAATTTGAACTTAAAGAAAATTCAGATTTAATTTGTAAAAAAAAAAAAGAAAATTCAGATTTAATTCGAAAGCAAAACTTTCAGTAATATATTATCCAAGAAATTGGGATTTTTTTTCTGTTATCTCTGATAGTAAAATAGTTCCTACTGATGAATGGAAGTTTGTGTTAGTGCGATTAAATTCGAAAACTGCTTGATTAGATGATTAACATTGATTATAGTACAGTGGTGAAAAGGATAAGGTGATTTCGTGTCTTCTATCTATCTTCTATGGATGAAAATATGGAGAAGCTTCCTTCATAGCAAAACTAAATTATTACTTCAATTAATTGTATCAGATAGACTTCAATCAATTTGTATGAAAGAATAAACTGTAAAATATGGGTTTAAGTGGTATTAAAGAAATGCTTTAATCAATTACAGGATGAATTTCAAACTAACTTTATGCATTGTAGTGCAAAATTTAAATTTCATTCATCACTGTTTGCAATAACGGAAATCGGATTCATAGTCATGTAATAGAGACATCACTTTTCAATGCGACCAAATCATATTGTTCGGTAGAGTGTTTAGCCATCGGTAAGGTTTCGTTTTACAATTTTCCTTTAAAAAATTTATTGATATTTCTGAGAATAAAGAGAAACGAGAATTGAAAGTGTCTCAAAGTTATCTATAATAGCTTAACTTGTTCCGTTCAATTAGCGAATAATTTGTGCACTTGCTTTTGGTATTGAGTTATGTATTTCGATTTTATTTTCGATCAACTATTGTGATATTTGAAGATTGGAAGGGATACTGTTAGCTGTTTGCAAAGAAACGCCATTTTTATAAATTATTTCTAATGGATTCAATTCATTTTGAAAAGGTTATTTTTCGGTCTTGCTAAATAGCTTTTTTTTTTTTTTTTTTTTTTTTTTTTTTTTTTTTTTTGGTTTAATTTGCAATTTGTAGTCACAAGAGAAATTTCCAATTAAGTATTGAATTGATTAAATTGAATTCAGTTTCATTTCAATATAACGCTTTATTTTTGATTGTTTTCTTAATTAAAATAAATTATATATTTGTAGTAGTTTGTTAATATGGTAGATCTTATTTTTCTTACAGCAAGAAGCATCATTATGTGCTCAACATGCTGTGAATATGTTGCTTCAAGGTTCCTATTTCACAGCTGTTGATTTGGCCGAAATCGCTTCAGAAATTGACAGTCGTGAAGGAAGGGTACTGAATGAACAAGATGCTAAAAGTCATAATGTCGATGATTCGGGTTTCTTCTCGCTGCAAGTAAGGAAATTATTTTTTTTTTTTCAAGTTTTCTTTCTTTTGACTTTGAACTGGCATCCTAAGATGATCTTGTGAGAGAATTGAATCAAGCAATGATTTGTTGGTTAATAATTTGTTTTGGGTCAGATATCACCTTTTTTTGATTTCCATCGTTCCACTATATATAGAATAATTCGAAAGTACCGTTTTGAAAATGATTAAAATAACTTCTTGAAACAAAATCTTCTTCACCTCGTGTTCTTATTCATTATTCTTTGGATTAGATTGAACTTCTGTAATAATTTTAGGTTATTGCTGAAGCACTTAAAGTTTTCAACCTGGAACTTATTCCTCTTAACAACCCTCGTGCTGCTACATATCGCGATGATCCAACGTAAGAACTGCTTTGATGACTGAAAGAAAAAGTTGCTGGTCAAAAATTTTTTTTTTTTGGAATTTTTTTCCTTAAGCATGTTACGGACACATTTTGAATTTAAGGGTTGGAATTAAATTGAGGAAGAGTTTCTCTTATTTGTTTATTTTTTCTTAATTTTTTTTAATATCCTTGCCTAAGGCATTATGTTTGTTTTGTCTACATTCTAGAATATCGATATTAGTTTATTTTACTTTGTATTTATTTCGCTATCGTTGGTTTACTTATTATAATTTGTCTGAAGTTTTAATGGAATATTTTATTTGCAGGTTAGGAAGAGCTTACATTTGCAATTTAAATGAGCACTGGTTTGCTGTTCGTCGTTTGGGCTTCCAATGGTTTACGTTGAATTCGTTGCTTCCAACACCAAGACTTATTTCTGACACTTATCTCAGCCTTTTCTTCGCTCAGCTTATCAATGACGGTGCATGAATTTTCTGATCAAAAAGATATTCGCATTCTTTTTTCGATTGTAAAATTCAATTTCTGGAAAAAGGATTATCTAATATGATTCCAATATGATATTACGAGATTTGGATATCGCTGTGAAATTTTAACCAAATTTGAAGGTTATTCGATATTCGTTGTGGAAGGAGTCTTACCACTGTGCACTGCTGATGAACAACTTTCTCAGTTTCCTGTTGATCCAGCATTAGCAGGTATGAGTGATTTAAATCCTGTTGCGAAGACTGAAACAATATCAAATGATCAGGTATGCCACTACTTTATTCAAAATACTAAAACTTTATGTCAGTATTATAAGCTAACTTATGGTTTATTTTTGTAAATTTTGTTGTATTTTCCATTATTCGTTTTTAATAATGATGATAATCAAAGTTTTTTTGGGCCAGGTTTTTTTGGAACCTTTAAAATTTTTATGGACAAGCAGTTCTGACCAAAAACTTTGTTAAGTAAAGTGAAGTAAAATTAATTTATCATAGAAACTAAGCAGATGCTTAATTAGTAGCAAATTCTTTTCTTTTTAAGGCCAAAGATGATGAAGATTTACGGCTTGCAATGGAAATGAGTCGGCAAATGGTGAAAGATGACTCAGCATTGAAGGTAACTTGAACATTGGACCAGAAATTTTCTTTTTCATGATATATTTACGGTAGTTCACTTATGCGATCCTAATTATATTGTTATTTTATAGACAGCAGTGAGCAACAGTTTGGCAGATGCACAGAATAAGAATAATTTGAATGAAAGCGATGAAGAATTGCAGGAAAGACTGCTTCAAAAAGCAATTCAGATGAGCTTAGAGAGTTTTGGGATGGAATCATCTCAAGCAACATCAAGTACAGCTGAAAATAATAAACTTTCAGCATCCATTAAGAACAGCAAACAAAATAGTTCCCAAATTCCTCAGAGTGAAGAGATTCGCAGAAAAAGAGAAAATTTTCTAAAGAAGTTTGAAAAATGAACTTCTGTTTTCTTATCCTTATTGATAGTGTTGATTTATGGTTTGGAAAGTATCATTACTTTTTTTTTTTATTTTCTCTCTTTCTGATCTTAATTATTTTTGCTTTTGTCAGTTCTACATTATCAGCTGAAGTTTTCTTTTTTCCTGAATTCTTGCTTATGATTACATAATGGACCACGACAAATGATATTGTGAGAGGAAGCCCAGAATATTTGCTCTGTCGTTGTTTGTCAAATGTTGTCATGCGTTTTATTTTCAATATGTGAATCTGTGAATCGAATTTTAGAAATCAAGTTTATTGTGAATCAGTAGTTGATCATATTTTTTTCACTCAAAATTTCAAGGTACGGTAGTAATGAGTCATTCTTCGATTTATCTTTAGTGCCAGGAATAAGTCGTGAGTTATGCGTCAAATTTATGTGTTGAAATAGCGGTGATCGTGTAGATACAAAAAAGTGCGGATAATCACAAAATATCTGGAAAATCAGAGATGCATAATTGATAAGTCAAATTTGTTAGAAAATAAAATGTTTTCTAACAAATTTGACAGATTAAAGCTGGGCCTTTGCTAAATGCAATTGGACTTTATATGATGTTTATATTACAAATAGAAGCACAAATAATTTTTGCTTCGAAAAAGTGCTGAAAAGGCTCCTATTTGGAATTGCGTGATATATTGAATTTTCATTTTATGTTATCTAACTGTACACTATAACCGGTTTAATAATGCTTACTTTTCACGGTGCTTTTTTCATATTTGTTATGTAAGTTCATATGTATATATACATATATATATACATATAAAATTAATCAATACGTTGTTATCATTTAATATTTATTACTCAAATATTAGTTATTGTCATAATACTTCAAAAGTTATATTTATAGTATGGATATTATCAAAATGAGAAAGTGGCGAAAGTGTAGGGGTCGGTGGGCTGGTGTGGTCATCCCGATCAGCTAGCTAATACATGTAGCTAATGACCTATTCAAAAAACTACTGACTTTTCAGCTTAATCCTTGACTTTTGATTTGATATTCTAGAATAAATCTACAATACGGGAATGATAATAACTAAGAGAATAATGTGCATCTAGTCTTAGTCTCGCTGTTTGAATTGTTTAATAATATCAGATTGAAATTAACGAATATTTTGAGCACCGGTCTCTGGGAACAAAAACACTTCGTTCTTCTCCATATCTCAGGTTCATGGTAAATCTGAAACTTCATTGAATGTTTGCAGGTGTTTGAGACGTTGCAGACGTGAAGAAATTGAGATTCGATTGAATAGCGAAGCTAAATTTGTCCTTTAATTATGGCTTTAGTTGAAGGTGATCTCAGAATCTTTTCGTCAGTTTGGCTATGTGAATTTATTCTTTTGAAATTTATGCTTTCGATTTATTGCTTCAAAATTTAGCATATTTCCCATTTTTCCGTTTTTAATAAGTAATTTCTGCCAAACACTGCTAATCATTTCTGTGGCATAAAGTTAATCTTCAGATACAATCGATCTTGATTTCGCTGAAGATGAGCTACTGGGCGATGAATTATCCAGTGTACAACAGATGGAACATACAGAAACTTCTATCTCTGTTGAGGTTAATTCATTCCATATAATTATTCATTTCAATGGGTTACCAAAGAGCTGCTTTACCAGTAACAGAATGATTCAGTTGTTTACTTGAAATATATTTCCTTTTAGAAAATGTACTAAAAAGTTTTTATGGTTAAAAATTCAGAATGAAATTAAGTATGGAGAAGTTTTTAATTGAAGTTGTCTATAACTCTTATGAGGTGAATGAAAATGTGGACATTCGGAGACTTGCGTAACGTATGTACAGAATGTCACATGAAACAAACTGTTTCTAATTCAATGATAGATTCAGAGCTATATTGGAGTACTAAGCCATCGACGTTATATAACAAATACTCGATAGTTTGAATTAAATTATTATCTTTGGTTGATATTCTACCAATATTACTCGTTAAAGCATTTTTTTTTTTGAAAAATGGAGGAAATTGATCTGGTAATTTGCAGTTTTAAGTTTACATGGTTAATTTAAAATCAGTATTTATGATTATTATGGCTATAGCAGCGCTAGATGGTTGAAGTGTTTGAAAAATATAGTATGCTGCTATTTACGTCGTGTGGAATGTAGATGAATCTTTCATCATAAGCATTTCGTAAAAAGAATGGTGCTACAAAAAATTTGTTTAAACTAGGTTCCGCACTTATTACATATTGAAAATGGAACAAGAAACATTATTATTTTAACATTTCAATATATTATAGCCAGATAGTCGTAGCAGTACTTTATATCAGTGATATAAGTGGATATTAATAAATTATGTCAGTAAAATTAGTAAATGGTAAAAACGACATAAGCAAAAGAGGAAAACTGTATATGGATGGTGATATTAGAAGATGAGTTATATGTAATTTTTAATAAGTTATATCTAATTCTCAACAAGAAAGGTTAGACCATATTCTTTCTGTTATACTTTGAACAGTTTGAACTTAGCTGGGGAAATTTAAAGTGATATAAAAGAATGATGAAGGGCATAAAGTAAAGTATTGAAACAAGATGAGCAGAAGATGAGGAATGGGATGGTATCGCTAGAAAAAAATCTATTTTTCAACATAGGCAATAATAAGTACCTGGAAATAAAAAATTCTTTGCTTTTGTAATTGCTCGCAACGTAATGAATGTATGAAATAGGACGTTTGTTTGTGCACCTGTGTTCGTGTTTGTTTGATAAAAAAGTTTTCAATGGTTTTTCGTTTCCGTTAGTGCTTCATTAAATTTTGCTATTTCCATTTTTGTAAAAGTAAATTGACCTTCTGATGATTCATATGAGGTACTCGTAATTTTTGAATGAACTTGAACTCTGAGGATCATAAAAATACTATAGGAGTAATAAAAACGATTTAGGCAAAAGAAAATATTAGATCAAAACTTAAAATTTTTAGTATCAGTGCATATACTGAAAGGATCATGTTTAGGGTCTGTCGTAGGTAATATAAATTTACCTGAATGAAAATAAATAGGAGGTATGATACTTGAACCCAGGAAAAGATGAATTGCGACGAGAAACTAAGCAAATCTAAAGTGATTGTAGGTTATCTCGGCACTGGGAATGTACTGAGCTAACTGGATTTGATATTACTTATGAGGACATAAAGTAGCCTGAAACTTAGTGAAGATAGACTGAACAACAACTGGAATCACCTATTGCTTGGCAGGTAGGTACGACAAACTGATTAAATAATTGTGATGGTACAAAGAAACTTATGATTTGGCGTAACAATATGTACAGTAACTGATATCTGCTACTGTAGATAATTGGTAGTAGATAATTGGACAATTTTCATCCTCATTTTTTTAAGAAAGTGTAATTTGGGTATTTTTTTTATATGGAGCATTTGTGATACCGAAATGTTGCAGGATAAAGCCGCAGATTTAAGCTTTTTAGTCTCGAAATGGAAAAAAGGTTTTGCAGATTAGTGGTATTGCTTTGAAGGTTACAACAGAATACAGTTCGTGTATCGGTAATGGTTGTTTTAGAAGCAGATGTGATGAACATATATACACAATAGAGAAATGATAACAGGTGGTTTGATAGGGTTTATTGAGAAGGTGTAAGTTCTGGTGCTCTTGCTATGGGCGCGATATATCGTAATATCCTCCATCTCCTTTCTTCTGTCCTTTTTATTATCCGATCAATGTCATCCTCTTTATTTCTTAAGGAAACCACCTGTTACACTACTTGTCACTTCCTGTTCATGTCATCACTAAGTATCAATTCAAAAAAGACTGGAGTACGCTTGTTTCTCTCTCTTTGTTTTCGGTTTGCTTTTATGTTGTTAGCTTTAGATTTTTTTTTCTCGTTTTCATTATAATATGAATCATAATCGTCGATTTTTTTTTTATTCTCGACATAAAAGATAGTTTCTGAATACGAGTTGTGAAGTTATAAAGTTAGGGAAGGAAGCTGCCATATCACATCATACGAAATATTGGTAGTAGATTGTACTATTAAGTTGTATCCACTTCGTTTTACCCTCCCCAACCTGTTGTAACCATCTTTTATGTGTTGTTTTGAGTGAGATGAGACCAGTCTTCCATCGTCTGCATCAGATTGCTAATGATGTTTTGAAATAACACGTGTCTGGTAAGGCATGTTACCTTTTTTATGTATGATAGTGAGAAGTGTGATTATAGTAATGTAAAATTGATGAAAGAATACACGAGAGATCTCCGATATGATTGTCGACTGGAAGAGAAATGAGTTTGATACAATGATTGACTAACGAATGGAGGAGAATAAACTCAATTCCAATTAGAAACCATATTCTCTCATTCATTATCAACACATCCTTAATGTTTCTTATCTTAGTTTCTCTCTCCTTTCCTTTCCTCTCCCCCTCTCTATAAAGTATGTATATGTAATGGATAATACTGTTTTATGAGATACGTCAGTTCAGTTCACGTCAACATTGTGAAAAAGAGACGAATGTGAAACACATATAACAAAGCGTACGTGTGTGTATTTATTTGTAGATGATGAATGATTAGTTAATAGTGGTTGTAGTAGTGAATGTACCACCCCATTTCGATCAGATTATTCATGTGTGTGTGTGTGTGTGTGTGTGTGTGTGTGTGTGTGTGTGTGTGTGTGTGTGTGTGTGTGTATGTGTACATGTGTGTGGATATGAAAAAAGGGATGGATGATTACAACTCACTGGCACATTCCATTGAACTACTAGCCAACCAGCCAACAACCAACCATTATTCATCTCATCTATCAATAAAAAAGAATGCAAGAAGTAGTAAGCAGAATGGGTGTACCTACCGATCGGATCTGCCCTGATACAAACAATATCTAATAGCCATAAGCTATCATATCATCATCTTTGCTATTGATGTCTTGTGTAATCAAGCTTCATGTTATATTTCCTCTCTTCTTCCTTTTTTCTCTCTCCTCCCTCTCCCTCTTTCTATTTTCATTTTCTATTCATTCATTAAAGTTAAACTTAATCCTTTATTCCTAACATATATATTTTAGTAGTACACTAGATGAGAGTAGCAGCAAAATCAATCACACATATTATACTTATCATTTATCTATAATAATGATTCATCAATAACATTTTGAAAAGTGGCAATTGGTCCTTTTTTGATATAGCAATGTGTTTTATAAGGCGGCGATGTTCTACCACAGATGTGATGAACTGTCATCATTGATATATGTTTTAAGTTTACAGATGCACAAATGAATGTGTCACATTACATATACATATATTTCCGATTTTTTTTTTCTTTTTTTTTTTGTTGTCGTCGTTGAAGTGATCATCTAAATTGATAAGAGAAAAAATTTAGTGAAGGATGGATGCTATAGAAAATGAAATGAGTTGTTGTGTTCATTTTGTTAAAAAGAGTTGTATTGTATAGGTGAAAAAAAAAAGAAAGAAAGAAAAATCCTTCTCTTTCGTAAATTTATACTTCTTCATTGTACTTTTGTTATTTATTTGCAACTTTTCTGTGATATCTTTCATTTTGCATTGTTATTTTCATTACTCTCTCATCTTTTCTTTATCTTTTTCATCTATCAATATAGGTAAGTAAATTGTATTAAACTGTGATGAAAATTGTAAATTTATTGACACCTAAACGATGACGAATCATCTTCAGTCAGTTTTTTTTTTTTTTTTTTCTTTAATCCAACTGAGAATGATAGAGTGAGATTTTTTTTTTTTGTTTTATGCAGAAGAAATAAGTAAGTGAAATGGAAGAATTATGGTTCCTACTTCTGGAATTTAAAAAAAAAAAAGAAAAAATGAATAGAAGCTTAACTGGCCAGAATAATATGGTTTATTTTGTTTAAATATGATTTGTTTTATTATTATCATGGATATGTCTATAAGAAAGGAATAATAAAGATATGAAAACTTTCATATATTATCAAGTGGAAAGTTACATAATTAAGTACTTTTTTTTTTGTGACCAGTTATTGATTATGTTATCATTTGATGAATTAATATTTTCCTTTTATTTATTTATCGTTCATTTGATAAGTTGATAAATTCTTCTGCATGTAAAATTAGCAAAGACGACAAACTTATTAATAAATGTATAAATAAATAATGAGGAAAGAATTAAATCATTTTCCCTTGTATATAGATTGGTTAAAATTTGAGAAATTACATAAAAGTGTGATTATTTGAAATAATTCATTCACTAATTACGAATACGAATAAATGAATTGAGGCTTTTAAAATATCACTCAAATACAATGTAAATTATAGCTTAGTTCTGTGTATTTTCTCATTTCTCATAATAATTATAGATATTATATTCTTCTCTATGCACATACATACATACTATAATGTTAAGCAATTATACTGTCTACTGTAAGTATAATGATATGATAATTTGAAAGTGATAATAATTTTTTATACATCTTGCATAATTTCATTTTCCAATAGTATGTGTGTTTGTGTATGAGAGAAGGAGCGCTTGTTAACTTTGCATTTTTTTTTTTTTTTTTTTCTCATCAAGCTTATTTGGTCTAATTTATCGAATTTCCGCTTGACAAA